TAATAATAATAATAATAATAATAATAATAATAATAATAATAATAATAATAATAAATTGCATTCATACGCTTCCTTAAAAGTTAATAAATCGTTGATTTGGTTATTGTAGGTAACACAATAAAAAATTGCATTGATACCCTTCCTTAAAAGTTAATAAATCGGTGATTTGGTTATTGTAGGTAACACAATAAGCTAATATGCTCCAACCATACACGACAAAAATGTTGTGACATCCATGTTATTCCATGACAAAACTTACGCTCCTAGCCCTCATCACTATGATAAAACCAAACTTTTCAGGAAAATGGCAAAAAAAAAAAAAAAAAAAAAAAAAAAAGAAGTGATATGATAACCTATCAAAGAAATAATTTATCGTCGCAAACAACTACAAAATTGACTTGGACTTTGCTACTCCTGCGGGGTAAGAATAAGTTGTCTTAAAAGTTTTATTACCACCAACTCATCTAGTTTGCCCACTTGCATCTTTGAAAAAGATAATTGAGAAAGGGAAAAAAAAAAAAAAAGATATGAAATTCTGCAGCTAGCTAAGAAAGATTGCGTTTAAAATGCAAACCCCAAGCTACAAAACAAGTATATATAATATGAGTATGTATAATATGAGTGGGGTAATGTATATAAAACCAAATTAATTTGATTCACTTTTCAAATTTGGAGCATGACCAGCGAAAAGATAAAATCAACACCTAACTGCACCAATAATCTCCTACCAGACGTGGAAAGTGAGGAGGAAAACAAAATTGTGGAAATTAAACAGGACCCCCGTGCGGAAAATGTAGCTGAGCATTAATATTCCGAAACTAACATGTTGTCTTTAAATGAAAAAGAATCTTAGGGTCCGTTTTGTTCGCTGATTCGAGTTTTTAATTTGAGTTGAGATGTGTGATTTTATGTGAGAGCTTTTTACTATAGCAAAAAAGTTAAATGTGACTGTTTCTGAGAGCTTTTTACTATAACAAAATTCGAATTCTAAATTCAAATCGGTGAAATAAACGGGACTATAATATTATTTAATTTTACACTCTTAATTATGTACCTTAATTTTGTTAGAAGTCGAATTTGCTCCACATCACCAAGTTACTGGGTTGTTACCCTATTTATGTGGAGTGGGTACCCTCTCTTCCTGAGCTGCCTTTTGGAGATGAGTTCTGCCTAAGCTCATTTATCATAGTATCAAAACATTCTCTTCTTAGGTCGTGCTTCGCATTTCAATCCTTGCAATTGTAATTTCATAACTTTTCACATATTGGGCATTAGAATTCTCCTTTTCTTCTTTGATTGTCCCTTTCTGAGCATTTGCATTCTCCCTCTATTCTTTGATTGGCCCTTGCTGGGTATTCTTTAATTGGCTCGTGCTAGGTATTTGCATTCTCTTCCTCTTTTTGATCGGGCTATATTGTTTAAAAAATGTTCAGAGGCACTATCCTGTACTAAGCACCACCATAAATAGAATATGAGTCTCACTTGTGGGTCCTACGCCGCGAGACCTACCTTCTATTAGTGAGTGGTGCTGAACATCACTAATGCCTAATAACATTACTCTGGCATTTGTATTCTTCTCCTCTTTTACATTTTGTCTATTGTTTTAATGGTCCTCCATATTGCGCATTTATTTGCATGTACACACATCAAAGGTAAATAAGGATAGTAATTTCAATTAATATTTTAATAATAAAATAAAGAGAAATAGTAGAAAATAGGCTAATATGAAAACCTTAAGAAAGTATATAGGCTAATTTTTAGTTATAGAAATTAATAGGCCATAACTTGTCAAGTTATGGTTCATAACCAGATAAGTTATGGACAAACTTGTCAAGTTATGGTTCATAGCCAGACAAGTTATGGATAAAAACCGTGAATAACTTGTCAAGTTATGGTTCATAACCAGACAAGTTATGGATTAAAAACAGTAATTTGGCATATTTATTAACTTATGTAAACTATTGGCCTATTAATTTTAATTCATCTAAAGTCTTGGCCTATTTCCTTTTTTCTCTCCAAAATAAACAACGCTTTTTATAAGATTTTTCAAGAATAAAATAAATGGAATATTCTTCTTTAAAAAACCAACATGTTAATATGTGGTATTGATGAAAATCTCCAAGATAGCTTTTTTTTTTTTTTTTGAAAAATGGAAATTGCATTCAAAACTAAGAAAATACAATCACTAATTCAGACGTGAAAGACCACAACACATTAAATGACTCAACCCCAATTATAGACCGGAACTACCGGTAAATTCGATTGAAATGCTCTAGGGAGTAATACGTGTACCAAATTCCAAAGAGGGGAAATCGAAAAGGCAAACAACTAATCGAGCACACAAATGGCACTTTCAAACACACCACAATAGTAGGTGGATAACTCCAATCGAATGAGATCGAGAGACTAAAAGCACCGGGGCCTACCACAACATTGCAAAGAAAAACTTGTAGACTACACCTAAAAACAACACCGGAAGTTGGAGAAACTAACTCCAAAAACAAACAAAAAACAAAAACTCACTAAAACTAAATGGTGAAAACATCAACGCCTTTATTTGACAAGCACACAAATCAAAACAAAATGACAAAGCCCAAATAACACCGGCGAAATCTCCAACGACAAGGCGACCACCGCCGCAGATAAGTAAGGGAGCCGCAATGCTGCAAGCAAGCCAAAGAAACACTGAAAAAAGGCCGAACCATCTCCTCCACCCACCGCTGCCAACTAGGGAAAACGTTTCATCCATGAAGCGCAACAACACCGAGACACCCACACGTCCCTAGCCTGCAATGAAAAGCGTGACCTTTCCACCTCCTCCGCCATCTCCGGTCTCTGTACTGCACCATAGGGAGCATAACTTTGCCGGCGTACAGACGTGCCTAGAAGCGGCAGCCAAGCACACATTGAAAAAGCCCCTCCCAACACCTTTTTCTACCACTCAAACAATAGCCCCGTTGACCCCTCGCTGGGAGGATCCACGCCGCGCCACTCAAGCAGCCTTCCATGGGACCGGGAGTCCAGAGCCAAGCCCAAGAGCGGTGCCGGACTCCGGCCCTTTGAAACTCTCTGCTAATGGCGCAAAGAAAAGCAAGGGATAGAGGAGAAGAAACCCCAGCGGCGCTTTTTCCAAGATAGCTATTAGCCATAAAATGTATTCAAAGGCATGAAATTTATCTCAAGCTTAACTTTGTAAGATACAAAAATAAATAGAAATCGTGTTTTGATCGTTTCTCTTGAAATTAAGATTCAAATTCTAAATTCTTGTATTACCCCACATATATACTATATATAATGGATAACTACGGGAATAAATAGAAATTGTGTTTTGATCGTTTCTCTTGAAATTAAGATTCAAATTTAAATTCTTGTATTACCCCACATATATACTATATTTAATGGATAACTAATAGAAAGTAATCTCATCTATATATATATATATATATGATCTTCATTCTTATGGGCTTTCATTATGAATCAGGATTCAGGAAGTGAGTTTCCATTTATTTTAAAAAAGTGATTTTGTGAGTGAGGGATCGGAATGAATTAACAAGTTCCAAATCCTGTAACATATTCATCTAAGTTAGCATATCTATATACGCGATATAGAAATAGTTAGCTTAGACAAACGTACGTAAGGGTAATTTAGAATTTATAATAACTGCTGAAGTAAAAATTAAACTAATTACTGAAAAGCAAATTTAAAATGGATTGAATCAGATCAGATACTTTAAAAAAGTTGACACTGGAAATTAAAACAGTCGGATTACATTTACATGTATAAATAAGTTATAACTTCCAATCATAGCAAGCTTTTTGGTGGGTAAGTTTCCAATTAGGTAAAGATCAGAAACAAAGTACGGAAAATAAATTCTTAATTAATATTTCATATCCGTGCTTGTCGGCCCCGTTCACTTCGCTGATTTGAGTTTAGAATTCGAGTTTAGATGTGACTTTATGTGAGAGCTTTTTACTGTAGCAAAAAAGTTAGATGTGATTATTTGTGAGAACTTTTTACTGTAGAAAAACTCGAATTCTAAACTCGAATCAGCGAAGTGAATAGGGCCTTTTTGATTCGCTTTCTGAAACTTAAAGAATTCAACGACATGATCATCTTAATCTGGCCCATATTATATATATATATATATATATATATATATATATATATATATATATAGAAAAGGTACTCCTACCATCCAATCCTTCTCAAAGTTAATGTCTCATGCACCCAATGATCACTTTTGTCGTAGACACGAAGCTAACAAATCAAAACAGTGTCGTTCACGGATAAGGATAAAATTCCCATTGGACGGCTCACTAAAATCTCCCTTTACGCCAAGCTAATTTAGCTAAAATATTTTAAATAACTTCAAAATTATCCTATATATACACATGAATATTGCATAACACAATTATCATCCTTAATTACAAAACCATATAATAATATAGTAGTACTAGTATAATTGACAAATATGCAAGCCAAAACTCTCTTCTCATCTCTCTTCCTCTTGATCTTCCTATTTTTCCCATCAATATCTTCATCTGCTCCAACCCCGGCCAAAAAGATAAAATCTTACAAACCTTGTAAAAGGCTTGTCTTCTACTTTCATGACATTGTTTACGACGGCGAAAATGCAAACAACGCGACCGCAGCCATCGTAGGCGCCCCGAGATGGGCCAACACGACGAAAATGGCGGGACTCAACCATTTCGGAGACGTCGTCGTGTTCGATGACCCTATTACCTTGGACAACAATCTTCACTCCACCCCAGTAGGGAGAGCCCAAGGGTTTTACTTGTATGACAAGAAAGACATTTTCACGGCTTGGCTAGGGTTTTCTTTTGTATTCAACTCTACGGAGCACAAGGGAAGCTTGAACTTTGCCGGGGCGGATCCGTTGATGAACAAGACTAGGGACATTTCGGTCATTGGAGGCACCGGCGACTTCTTCATGGCTAGAGGGATTGCTACTTTGATGACTGATGCTTTTGAGGGTGAAGTTTATTTCAGGCTTCGTGTTGATATCAAGTTGTATGAGTGTTGGTGATCATGAGATTTACGTTACTGCCTTGTTCATAACATGATTTTCCCTTTGTTTTTTGTTTTTTAATAATCAAAAAGTGAAATGAAAATCTCCACCGTCATTTTTATTTTTGCGATTGGTTTTAATTGCTTGGCTTTTCTTGTTAGTAGTATTGAAAAGTATTGCATGCTTCATATCCTTCTGGGAAAAAAATAAAGAAGGAAAAAGAAGAAGAAACTATTAGTTATTATAATTGACATGCAAGTGTCATATTAAAATTGTTACATAACGTATTAGTAGATATTATTTTATTTTTTTGAGAAAATTGTTGAACTTAGAATGTATAAGTATGGATTTTTACCCTTACGCTTGATTAATATATTTTAACTAATATAGTTATTTGACTAAAAGGATATTAAGTAAGAGTAAGAGGAAAAAAAATCCAGATCCATATACATGAGAGATATATATTTGTCTCCTATTCCCACTACTTTTCTTCATATTCTTCAAATACTTCAACTTCGTGTATTATATATGTCCAGCGTCAAGGCACTCTCTAAACCGTAGATATACATATTTCACATTACGTATTATTGTTAGTATTTCCTTTAAAGTTGTGGTTTTAGTGGCAATGGAGACTTTCCATTCATGAGGGTGACCACATTTACCATGCGTGATGATGAAAAAAACTCGGTCATATGTGAGTGTGGAATCATTTTTCTAAAAAGCACATCAAAGGCTAGCTTCAATATGATTGATTTAACCAACGGTAAATTATTGATTGAAATTGATTTATCACTAACTGATATTAGTCAATCAGTGATAAACTAAATTAGTAATTCACCGTTAAGTCAATCTAATTTATTATGATTTTATCACGGATAAATCAATGATCATTTTCCTGATTTTATAGAACTTTCCATTTACTAAACAATAGCTAAAAAGACGGTTATCTTTGCACATTTCCTTGTTCTATGCATATATATATATATATATATATATATATGTGTGTGTGTGTGTGTGTGTGTGTGTCTGTGTCTGTGTGTGTATGTTTCTTGAAACTAAATGTTGTAATTAATTTCGATTTACCATAACTTGCTTAAATTGCATGCCTAGCTAGCTTTGTCGTTAATGTAAATTTAAACAAAAAACAAAAGAGCGCTCGGGTCATGGTACGTACTGGATTTATTATTAGTATTGCAATTATTTGGAGACTATATGTTTAATGTCTTTATATGTACATCCAATACTAATTCGCTTTATTATCAAAAAAAAAAAAAAAAAACTAATTCGCTTTTAATTTTGAAACTTGTTTACTCATTTTTCCATAATGGGAAGCTGTTTGAGTGATTCTGGTGAGATGAGCACCTCAAACAGGCGTGAATAGTGTTGCTTCATGAATTGAAATTATGATCCAAATTATTAATTTAGTGGGGCCTAGTTAGTTGGTGAAGGCAGTAGTCCTACCAAATTATGTCCACAATGTTGCCGTTAGAACAGTTATTGTAAATTTTAGCTACCATGAAAACAACTCCTTAACACTGTGTAAGATCAATCAATTAATTATGGTCTAGCTTGCTAATCTAGTTGTTAACATCATTAAAATTGTTTTATGATTTTTCAAGAACGTACATTTCATCAGGATCAACAGGACCAAATATGTTGACAAAATTCATCAAATGGTTTAGTTAGCATATAATTAGGTTTCAATAGTACATTAAAAAAAAAGGGAATTCTTTTTACTGTGCGTTTCAAAAGAAACACATCCGAGTCAATGACAATTTTACGTTAACAAGATTTCCTCACGAAGACACAAAAATTGAATGTAATTAACTATACTTGATCACAACTCAATTTAAACTCAAAAATAGGATTAAACCCGGCCCTCCATGGACTAATAATATTGTATCCTATGCATTATGTTGCAACATTTATTTAATTAATAGCCTTTGATACCTCTTGATAAACAATTCAGATCTCAACTTAATTATTCAAAATTTAGCAAATTAAATTATCAGGTTTATCATTTTCGACATTTATGTATGTATATTATATATATACGCGCACACACACCAAATTCATTTTCATTAATTTCATTCAAATCAATATGAAATAATTGAGGTCTCGTTCACTTCGCTGATTCGAGTTTTTAATTCGAGTTGAGATGTGATTTTATGTGAGAGCTTTTTACTGTAGCAAAAAAGTTAGATGTGATTGTAAGTCATGTGTAGTAGGTATGTAGAAATGATAATGAATAGCACACAGTATATATTGCTTTTCCCCCTTGGAATGGTCCCAAGAGATGACGTACAAGTCAAGCTTCAATAATGTATAACTAAAACAAAGACTTGCTAGCAAAAAAATAATAATAATAACCAAAAGGACTTCCACACCACCCAAAAAAAAAAGCCGTTATATAAAGATTATTCTATGCAAAACCTATCAAGTGCCCACCACAAAAGAACTTATTGTTACATTTTTTAAGTCCTCCTAAGAAGAAATGGCATATCCCAAGTCCATTTTGGCTCTCTTCCTTCTCTTCCACCTCGTCTCTTGCTCGAACTCGCGGCCGGCCGGCAAGGGAATCAAACGCCGGATCGAGCCCTGTAAAAGGATGGTGTTCTATTTCCATGACATAATATACAATGGAAAAAATGCCAAAAACGCAACATCAAGCATTGTAGGTGCGCCAGCTTGGGGAAATAGGACCATTTTGGCAGGGCAAAGCCATTTTGGTGACGTGGTTGTGTTTGATGACCCCATTACACTTGACAACAATCTGCACTCAACCCCAGTTGGTAGAGCCCAGGGGTTCTATATTTATGACAAGAAAGACATTTTCACGGCTTGGCTAGGGTTCTCCTTTGTGTTTAACTCAACGGAGCACAACGGAAGCATTAACTTTGTCGGGGCTGATCCTTTGATGAACAAGACTAGGGATATTTCGGTCATCGGCGGGACCGGTGACTTCTTCATGGCTAGAGGGATTGCTACTTTGATGACTGATGCCTTTGAAGGGGAAGTCTACTTCAGGCTTCGTGTTGATATTAAGCTCTACGAGTGTTGGTGAAAAATAATTGTTTTGCTTTTATTAGGTCTCACTTTTTTTTTTCTCTCATCAGCACCCCTCAACTTTAGAGTCATTCTCACTTTATCCCCTAAATGTTAAAAACTCTCACTTTATCTCCTGAATTTTAAATCAGTCCTGCTTAACCGCTTTTGTTAAAATTTTTATTAAAAACAAACGGAAAAAAATCACATAACCCCAATTAACCCCTTCTCTTTCCGTCTATTTTCAACGGAAATTTTAATATAAGGAATTAAGTGGGACTAATTTAAAGTTCAGATAGTAAAGTGAGAGCTCTTAAATTTAAAGGACAAAGTGAGAATGAACCTAAAATTGAGGGACACTTGTGAGAATAATCTTTTTTTTCCTTTGAAGTTTTTTTTTTTTTTTTTTTTTTTTTTTTTTTTTTTTTTTTTTAAGATTTTTGGTTGGAGTTGATTGATGTGTTTGGAGCAGAAGTAGTTTATTACTTCAGGCTTCATCATGATTGGTAACAAGTAACGGAATTGTTTGGGGTTCACTTATTGGAATTGGTTGTGTGTTTAAGATAGCTTGTCGAAGGAATATTATTGTAAAACATTTTCCATCAAATGAAAATCGTTTTAAGATATTATGGTAAAACATTTTCCTTATCGCAGGAATATAATTGTAAAACATTTTCCATCAAATGAAAATCGTTTAAGATAGCTTGTCGAAGTATCGTTACAACTTTTAATTTAAAGCTTATGGTTTAGTTGATTTATCATTAGATAGTAAAAAGTTCTTAGACACGTTGGTTCATTTGTGCAAAACGAGATACGGTCAGAAAATAGCGTGAAATAACAATGTGAACTGCTTAATGCCTACGTAAAAAAATACGTACATTTTCTCATGCACAACGAGAGCTGGACGTAGCGTGGAAAAATTTTATGAGCATGAATAAATCAGGAATTCAGTAACTTAAACTGCTTAAATGTTTATCAGTTTATGTAAAAGTAACACGGAAACAAGCTTACAGTAATTTTAGAGCTCAGGGCTTATATTTATACAACAGTGAAATTATACATTTTGGCAACTTGGTTTAGCGTCTTCTTAATTGTGTGTACGGAGGCGTTAACTTTGCAGGACTGACCCGCAGGGACGTTTCTGTACTCGGCGGGACTACTGGTGATTTCTTCATAGCCCGTGGTAACCGGCGGGACTACTGGTGATTTCTTCGTAGCTTGTGGTAACCGGCGGGACTACTGGTGACTTCTTAAAGGGAGTGTTGATGTCATGAGTGTTGGTAAGATGAACTGTCGTTTACAGTTTGGTTCTCTTCGTTGGTTTCTTTTAAGGTGTCGGTCAGTTATAACAAGTTTGATTAGAGATTAGCCTTTGAGCGTCCAGTTCAAGTGTTAAGTCAATGATTCTAATTTATTGATGAAAATTTTGTGAGAGAATAAATTTTTAAATTCAAATTCTTTATAAGATGAAAAATAATGTAGCATAATTAACTAAACGGAGCATGAGTGTTTCATTACTGAATGGTGGGCTGAAGAAGGCAAAATGAGAACAAAAACAAGTGCCGAGTTTGATATATATTTGAGTACTTCCTTATTAATATTTTCTTCCTTTTCACGGCTGCATGGTCTAAATAGAAAAAAAACAAATAATTCTTCTTTAATGTGCAATGTTCCGCAATAACACATTGTTACAAACCGATTAGGCAGAGCTCATCCTTGCAAACCAGGAGGGAATCAAGGGCTTATAAACCCACTATTTATTTTATAATCATTCCATGTGGGACTAGTATCTAACATCCCACCACACTCCACAACCGCCATCCACGGCAGCCCATCTTCCCAGCTAGGTGACTTCACAGATCCTGCCTTACTATCAGGTAGCAACCCTCCCCAGGTCCGATCCCATACTGCGTTTGATCCATATGCAACGGTTACAGAATCGCAATCCATAGCAATCCATACTATGTCCGATCCTATACTCAACATGGTGATTTTGTGAACCACAGTCCATACTACGTCTGACCCATACTTGACATGGTGGTTTTGTAACATTCCACCATGCGTGGGCCCAAATCAACAGCGGTTTACATTATCAACTGCTTTTGACTCGAATCCACGACGTGGTAAACTGGCTCTGGTACTTACAAACCCATTAAGTAGAACTCACTCTTACAAAACCGGCTTACAAGGAGAGAGAACACAAGGGCTTATAAACCCACTATTATCTTATAATCATTCCATGTGAGACTTCTAACACACGCCCACTAGAACTTTTCTTTCTTCCCTTCTCCTTTGTGATAAATACATGTCATGCAATTAGTTCTTTTCATTTTTCACAGCAAAAACAAAATTAAAAACATGAAAAAGAACAACTTTTCTTCTTTTTCTTTCAGATGCACCGAAAAAGAAAAAAAAAAAAAAAAAAAAAAAAAAAAAATTTTTAAGTCACGAAAGGATTTTAAATTTTTTATTTTTATTTTTATTTTTTTCTCTTCCTCAATTGCTGAAAATGAACAAAGGGTATCTAACTCGGCGTATTTACATAACATCTCAGGAGAAAATTGGCAATCTTTGCTCACCGGAGGCGTATGAGATGATACTCCTTTTAAGCGGCGAAATATAGTTTGCCCCATGGAATGCGGCAGCACGCAATATATTAAGAGGTCCAAAATCAACTGAATAAGCCTTTTGAATGCCATCCAAGACTGCCATCATTGCTATGTTTTCTAGTTTCCTTTCTGCTTCATATTTCTTCAACAATGATACCTGCATAAACAAATCAAGACTCCACTCAGAATCAATATTTTTCATATGTACACTATCATAGCAAAATAAGCATCCAGCAAATTCCCACCTCAAAACAACCAAGAAAAAGAATCTGGAATCAGTTGGCAATTGATACACTTACTGCATATTACTGTTATTCAAGTAAGAAAGAAACAATATGTAACTGATCGGTGTAGGTGATAGGAGAACAAAAATATTTTTGATTTTGATCGACTTAAACGTGTCCCTAAAGAGCTATTACATGTTTAAAAATTCAACGCTGCTTTATAGAAATTCACTGATTTACCACCAAGTTATAGATGGGTCTGCATTATATAGATATCGGGATATAACATGCATTTTAGCGATGAATATCCGACAGAACTCGAACAAAAGTACATCAAGCCAAAATAACTGAGGGTGAAAAATACTCTGAAAATCCTTTACCTCCCCAATGTCGGTTCCAACTGCAATACCCTCAGCAATTACTCTTGAAAGAGAAGAGGCATCTCCGAAACCCAAATTAACTCCTTGACCAGCCAAAGGGTGAACAGTATGTGCAGCATCGCCTATTAGAACCACGTGCTTTGACGCGTAGTTGTTAGCGTGCATCAACGACAACGGAAATGCCATCCTTTCAGAAGCCAACTTGACTACTTTTGGTGGAACCTCAAAGCTTTCATTAGCTGACAATGTCACATCCGGTTTAAGCCAAGAAAATATGCCTCCATTTCCCAACGTGCTTGACCTGGGATGAGGACCATATCCATAATCCAAAGCATAATTTACATCTTTCAAAAAATCACCCTCATTCATCACTTTACGATCAGCCGCCTCTTTCGGGTTCATTGTCCAAACAATGTTACTAAAATTATCACCTACTGGCAAGAGCGCAATTGGCCCAGCAGGTAGAAATCGCTGCCATGCACAATGATTTTCAACACTATGCTCTACCGTACAGATGATTGCACTCTGTGAATAGTTCCATCCCGTAGTTTTAAATCCTGCTAACTCCCTAACACGTGACTTGGACCCATCAGCTCCAACCTGCAAAAAATGCCCGCATAACTTGACGTGAATAAATACATATGTCAATATATATATATATATATATATATATATATCAATCAAGCTTGTCTGCTATATTTGTTGAAAGAATGAAGATAATGTAAATTTTTTGCAGAGTTGACTTTACCACCAACTTAGCGCATAGGCTGCTTCCATCACTTAGATCCAGCTTTACTGGGTGCCCCCGCTCACATGATGGTGATGCAGATGATGTGCTGCCCACCCCCATGGATGAAGAGTTTTGATGTAAAGTCATTAATTTGGATGGATAGATAGTCTTCGGGAAATCTGTACTCTGTTAAAGCTTAATCTTCTTAGCTTTAAAAGTATCATTAAGTATGATGAATACTCTCTAGACAAAAGAAATGACATTTCCATGATAATTGTTATATGGGCTTTGCTTTGATATGGTTGCACGAAAAACACGGGTTGTTTAGTACCATAAATCAAAATAGCCACCAGACCAGACTCGAAGAAAACTTTTTTTTTTTTAGCTGGTTTGGAAGAAAACATGTTTACCAGGGAATAAATAATAGGAATACCTGTATACATGACAACAAGGAACTATGTAGAACTCTATTCTCCACAACACACCTATATTAAACGTCAAAATCAGCATCATATGCTATTGAAAATAATAAAGAATAATGTTTATCTACTTCCCACTTGAGAGCTTACCCGAGAACATCCTTATTTACATCTCTTGCATTGTATCTTGTATATCCTAACCCGGTGTAGTCCCAAACCTACAACATAAAAAAAAAAATACAAAAAATCACTCACTAGGTTTTGAAATAAGGCATTGTGAAACATTCTCAAGGAACAAAAAAACATATACACACATTACAAGAAAGTGAAATTGAAAAAATGATCACCTGCATCTTATCAAAATATGCATGCCGATTATCCTCAACATATTTCCAGGCACCAATATCTGCAAGAAGACCATCATTCTTTGAAGTCCGAAACCATGTAAATGTGTTCTAATACTGCTAGAGTAAAAAGTAACATATGCAAATCCAGAGCAGAAATGCTGAATCCAAGTGATAGCTTGATTCTATTACTTACAAATCTTGGTTATTTTTGTTGGTTCCTGGTGTTTTTAGCGTGTTTTTATTGTGTTTTATTTTGCTTTTGTAGGTTTGAGTTAAAATGAATAAAAAGGTCTTCAAAAGAGTGGAATTGGGAGCCAAATCAAGCCATGAAGCCGCTGCAGCGGAATGGAATTCGCACTGCAGCGCGGACAGCAGAAAGCCAGCCCCAGCCCCTGCCTCAGGCGCTGTAGCGCCTACTTCTTGCACTGCAGCGCCCCCTCAGAAACTGAAAACCCGCTGCAGCAGGAAAAACACCAACTGCAGCGGGTTTGCTTGTGCTGTTAGGGTTTTCTCAAAAATCCTAACGGCGCTGCAACGGGAAAGTGATCTGCTGCAGCACCTCCACGCGTTCTACAATCATTTAAGGCTTCATTTACACTGATTTCAAGGGGAGCATAAATAGAAATGAGCTAAGAATCAAAAGGAACGCTTGGAAACACAAAAAACAGAACCAAAAGAGAAAAATACGAGGTTTTGGAGAGCATGCTTGGAGATTGGACGGGGAGCTTGAAGATTTGGAGCTTGTTCTTCAACGAGTTTTATTTTCCTTCTTCTCCTTCCTCTTTTACCTTCTAGAATTTGTATTTTCCTTGATTGTGTGTAGACTATGGATATGAGATTTGGATTGTTTATGGTTTAGGCTATGGGATTATTAATGTATACTTCTAGCTAAACTCTTTAGAGCTAGGAGTTTGATGTAGTTTTACCGTTGCTATGTTATAAAGATTCTATATGCTTGTTAATGTATTTTCACTTCAATCCATTTGTGTTTCTCTATGCTTATTGTCTAATTTGATTATCCATTGAATTAGAGATATAGATGTGTAGATTTAGACTCGGGTTAGTTACTTTCACATGTTGGATTTGGGAAAGCACAACCTCGAGTTAGTTGAGTTCGGTAGGCCAATTAATTCGGGTAATCAATATTAGGTTGCTTAATGGATGCTTGATTTGGTTAGACTAATAGGGATATTGTTTAACTGGGCCTTGCATACTATTTTACTCAGCATTCGGGAGAGGGGGTGAAATTACTTTCGAAAATCTAAGATTAATGAATTGAGTGAAATTAGTTAACAAGCTTAAGAATTGGATTAGCATAGCTCGGTAGGATGAAATCAGACCCCTAGCCGCCTTAATACCATCAGAGTTTCTTTCGATCCCTTCTTGTTTTCAAATTTCTTCTTTACTTGCTTTGTTAGTTTACTTCTATTGTTTTAATTGCTACAGTCACTCGAATTTGGTTTCCTAGATAAAGTTATAGTTATTGTAATTGCGGTACTTAGTTTAACTTGCAAAAACTCAATCTTTGTAGGACGATATATGTACTTAGGTACACTTTATTACTTTTGCGATTCGTTCACTTGCAAGCACACACATACTTCAATTGAATCAAAAGCAATTTCGCAACACCAAGAAAATTATGTCAACAACTGAAAAATACCTTTGAAGAACGATATAGTTGCAGGGGTTACTGTACTGACCCTTGGATCAGGAGTGCCTTCTTTCTTGACGCCGACTCCATTAAATAGTGCTGGGTTGCTATCAATAATGGCAACGCTCAAATGCTTTGTCAACAGCATGCTTGCTACAACAAAGAAACGACGGATTGGAATACAAAGTCACGACGAATTGGAATACAAAGTCTTGTGTCTCGAGTTCGATGCTCATCATAACAGCTACATTAAACTAATTCATCCAATTCCATCTAATCTCAAACCAAATATATCAAATACACTACACAGCTTCAGTTTCATTGATAGACCCAATAGTTAATCTCAAATATTAGAGAAAAGGAGACAAATACTCCTTAGAGTGCATGAGTAATATCTTTTTTAGTCAAATAACTATATTAGTCAATGAATAGTAAGCGGTAAGCAACTTTCCCCAAATTTTATTACAGAGAGATTTAAGTTAAACAAGAAAATGGTTTAATAAATAGTAGTTCAAAATTACATATACCTAAGGAACAAGCAAGGGCCATGCCAACCATACCCCCTCCAACAATGGCAATATCATGTTGGTGAACCTGGGATTTCAAAGCAAAAATAAATCAAACCAAAAACTTGGAGACATACCCAATTTCCAAACCTAAACAAATCTGCAACTTATAAATGGTAAAGATGGTTACTTGTCCAGGTTGGCCAGGATTTGAACTGGGCACTTTAGCAGTTGTATCAGTACATAAATTCTTCTTCGGAGCTTTCAATCTATAAACATTTTCAGCAATTTTCCTCTCTATCAACCTGTTACCCAGAAGACGAATATGGTTAATGACTAGCATAAGTAAAAAAAGCAATGATTTTGAAGCAAATTAGACAAAACAAACTACAATTTCACAGGGAAAAAAAACGAAAGATTTTAACCTAAAGTTCGAATCTTCAACTAGTGTGCCTATATTTTCCCTCCTCAAAGTCAATTTTTTGGACTTTGATTACAAAATAATAGCCTAAAAAACACCTAGATTATATATAAATATAAAACCCATTACTGAAAAACATAAACGCGTGCCTGTTCATTCTGGTGATCTTCTTCTTCGCAGCAAAAAACTGGTTTTCGTTTTTTCAGTGTGAGCGTTACTTGAATAAAATTGATTTGTGTATGTGTTTTTTTTTTTTTTGGGATGGGTTCATGGGTCGGAGTCAGGTACCCAAAAGCGACCCGAGAATTCCGGGTCGATGAAAGAGCTGACACGTGGAGGGAAGTTAAACTAACTGTCTGTCAGCCACAGGTAATTTACCTTTCTGAGGAAGAAGATAAAGTGTTGTTACTTGGCGCCCTTTAACTTCTTCCATAGCTTATCTATCTACAAACGACTTCATTTGAGCTTTGAAGCTTAGAGAGAGAAAGATTTAGAGAGAGAGAGAGAGAGAGAGAGGGGGAGTAGTTAGTGAGAGAATGCGAAACATAGCGCTCTTAGGAAGTGTGGTAGTGGGGGCCAATTCGGTGCCTCGGTTGTTTGTTCAAAAACCTCCCAACATTAACAAACAGTTGTTCAGTTGTTACCTGCTTTCTCTGCAACACCCCAGTTCCAAGAATTACTCTTCCAAGCTTTTTCTGAGGAACCCAAGTTCCGTTTTCTCAAGGTGATCCTCGTTTCCCAATGCCCATCTCTATTTTCTCTCCTCAATTTCACTCCTTGTTTGTGACATTCAATTCAACATGGAAAATGGCAATGGCAAATTTCAGGCTACGATGAAACTACATTTGATACTTTTCTTTTTAAAAAAAAATAATAAATTTAGTTCCTTTTGTAAAAACGCTAATTGGTTTGTCTTCAGTCTTTCATCGTATATTCTAACACGTAGAAATAAGTAACATAACATCATATTTATTCTAAAAAAACTATGATTTTTTATAAGGTATAACGTTTGTTTGCGTTAAATAATTTTGTTGTTGTTATACTTATATAAATTATTGTTGCATAGAATAAATTTTACGCTCTTTACCTCTCTGCGTGTTACATATAGGACCAGTTACTTGTTAAGCATTTGCCTATTTTAATGGATGCTAAGTGCAAAGCTTTTGTGTTGCAGACACTCGAGCCAGTGGAGTGCAAACACATTTGGGCGCTTTTTACAGACTTCTGAAAAATCAGATGGCCATGTAATGTAACACTTCTCTAATCTCTATGCACATGCATCTTATTCTCATTTGGACAAGTTGAATTTAAGTGATGTTTGCTATATGGGTTCTGCTACAGTGCAAATCCATGGTTTTCGTTGTGCTGTATCGTTTTTCTCTCATAAAAAATTTGAATTTCAAAAGTCATAATTAAAAACTCTGATTTGAACCCTGGTTTGAATCCATATATCAAACAGGCCCTTATTGTTTGTGCTTCTTTCTGAAACAACATGTTGAGTACAGAGAAGGAATGACTATATAAATAATCTCATAAAAATGACTCTTATGATTTCTACTACATAAAATACTGTTTATAGTCTGGCACATTATATGAAATGTAAATTCTAGATTGCCATAACTACTATTTCAGATTCCAAGTAAAATATTCACGCTATTGCCTTGCCCAACAAGAATTTGATTTTTAATATTTTCTCTCAAATTACATCCCATGTAATTTCCTTTCAAGTTTTCCATTTTCCTGTTTTTCCTTTAAGGTTTGTCACCTTCACATTCCACATTCCAATATCATAGGAAGACTTTCATTTGTAAAGTGATTATATCAACTTTACTGATTAATGGAAATGTCAATTTTGGCACAGGAGTCCTTAAGGTGTCTGGACCTCAAAAACTTCGGAGAGATCGCGGAATTAATTGAAAATATGGATGAATATGATGCCAAAATTAAAGCGCTTGCAGAGAAAAACTTAAAAAAGAAATCTGAGAAAACAATAGACTTCCTTTTTGCTGATAATTTGGTTGGTCATTACCTGAATTTTATGCTGCTATTTGGGTTTCTTGCTCTTCAAGGAACTCAACCAGCTGTTGCTGCTTCTGGTTTTGCAAGTGGGCTGCTGTCTTCTCCTTATTTCGCGGACCTCGGAGATATTAGCACAGGTTTTGCTTCAGTTAGGAAAATCTCCCTGTAACTTCTATAAGCTGCTATTCTTTATCTAAATCTTTCTAGTTATGAATCATGGTGGAACTAGAGCTTTCTCAATTTTGACTTTAAGAATTTAGTTGTATGCTGTTTTCTATATAGTACTTATGGTTTTATGACTTGGATCAATTTAGTAAAAGAATTGACCAATGTTTCTGCTGCAGGCGTTCTTGCTGATCTTTTTCTCAGAACTGGGCGACAAGACCTTCTTTATTGCAGTAAGGATATAACTTAAGAAATTCAAGTAGTTTTTAAACTAATTGTCAGGAAGAAAAAGAAAGAAAAGAAATATTTAGTCCAATGTACAGACAGGGTGCAGTTGAGAACACGATTATTCTAAATGCATTTTTGAGCAATTTAGTTTGTCAAACATATGCATAAATTTCTGATAAATACTTTAGGCATGATTCATGAACAAAGATGCTTTGTAACAGGGAAAAAAAAATGTATTTCAACTTGATCCAACTTGTTTCTATTCACTTTGATGAAACTTTGTAGTTAATGTAATATTCATTGTCGTTTATGGTTCTTCTACAAGCCTTGTCTAATTCTGATATTAGATAATTATGGCGTCCTTTGCAGGCTTTATTAGCAGCTAGGAATTCTGCCGCTGTTGTTTTCACGGGGACTTTTGGTGCACTTGCGTATGTTATTCTGTTTGCTCATGGTGATTTAGATGTCCTTTGCATAACTAAACTTTTTCATTAATTTCCTTGCATAAATTCCATAAGATGTTACATCAAGTTCAAGAGTGCCTAACAAAATTGGACAAACTCATATATATATTTTGACGAATATTGCTCTATCTTTGATATTAGTCTGACTGTCTGAAAGCATCTATAAGTTTGCATTCTAGACAAATAGTTTTGAAGCATGGCCTTTTAAACTGTTAGTGGTATATAGCAGTTGAAATCTCACAGAATGAAGAGATTCATATCAAATAACCATTATTTTATATGTTTCTTCTATATCTTTGGCAATTTCTTATGTACATGTTTTGTGTTTAAATCCAATGCAGGGCAATGACCATAATATCCGTTGCTCTCGGACGAACTTTCCACTATGTTGATGAAATCCTACCCTTCAGGTACTTCCTTTATTCAATGAGTTATTCATATTTCATGACATTACCCTGTTAAGTGCAACTATGTTGTATAAAAGTGGACTTGGATCAAAGATATTGCTAAGTGGTTTCACAGTAGAAATCTAATTGACAACACTTTGGGAAACCAGATAATTTTAAGGTCTTGTTTGGTGGGGGAGAAGTGAAAAGATTATTGGATGGATTTTAAGACTTATGGTTGTTTGGTACGAGGGATTAGAGGAGTGAATGGATTTGATGAAGGATTCAAAATCCTTAACAGAACTCCAAGTTTGATCCCACCGACGTGATAAGCTCCTATTTCTCGGTTAGTAGTAATTTGACATAATACAAAAGAAAACTAACAGAAGCTTGGTTTGTATTAATGGCGGAAGATTGCTTACAGGAAGATAAGGGGATTTTCGAGAGATCCCTTGCTCTCCTAGGTTTCCACTTCTCAGAAGTTGTACAAAATGAATCGATGCCATTTTATTCTACCTCCTAATCTATTTATACTACTAAGCCTTATTCCTCTTACTAATTCCAAGACTAACTAACTAGTAACTGCCTGCTGACTCAGCCTATCCCTATTCCCCTTTCCGAGTAATACCCTCCACCTCAGCAACCACTTGAGTTTCAGCTGCCAACCTTGGCTCGTGGTGGTGTTTCCTCCGAGCATATGTAAAACGCACGGGGGGCCTATCATTACCCCCGCCCCAAAGACGCACCTTGTCCTCAAGGTGAACGTGAGGAAATCACGCATCAATAGAATCATACGACTCCCACGTATCCTCATGTGCCGGTAAGTGAGCCCAACGGATCAACACCTCTAAATCAGTACAGCCTCCATGAACTGTGTGCCGCACCCCAAGCAATTCGGCCGGCTCCGCGCACATCTCCAAGTCCCCTGTCAGCTGGGATGGCAGAGATGAGATGGCCTGCCCTTGTCCAATCACCCTACGTAACTGAGAAACATGAAACACATGATGAATGGTCGCCGAGTCTGGTAAAGCCAAACAATGAGCGACTGGCCCCACGCGATGCGTAATCCGAAAGGGACCATAGAAACGCGGGCTCAACTTCTCATTACGGCGGCGAGCCAACGAAACTTGACGGTAGGGACGAAGCTTAAGATACACCAAGTCGCCCACAGCAAACTCCACATTTCGCCGTTTACCATCCGCCACCGCCTTCATCTTCTGTTGAGCCCGAAGAAGGTGGAATTTGAGTAGATCCAACATGGCATCTCGGTCTTGTAGTTGGCGCTCCACGGAATCCACTGGCGAAGCCCCCACACTGTACCGCAGCAATGGTGGAGGCAACCGGCCATAAACCGCTTGAAAAGGAGTCATGCGTGTGACAGTATGGAAAGAAGTATTGTACCAATACTCGGACCAAGCCAACCACTTATGCCACTGCCCGGGCTTATCGGAAGTAAAACAACGTAGATAGGTTTCCACACTCCTATTAACCACCTCGGATTGGCCATCGGTCTATGGGTGGTACGCCGTACTGCGCGAAAGGGTAGTCCCCATCTGTTTGTGTAAGTCAGTCCAGAAACGGCTAAGAAAAACACAGTCCCGATCCGAAACAATGGAGCGAGGAACCCCATGCAGCTGGACAACCTCTCGGACAAACAGCGTTGCCACCTTCTCTGCAGAAAACGGATGCCTCAAAGCAATAAAGTGACCATACTTGCTCAAACGGTCAACAACCACTAGGATCGTATCGTAGCCCTCCGAACGAGGTAGGCCTTCAATAAAATCCATAGACACATCTTCCCACACCTGTTCCGGAATGGGTAGGGGTTGCAATAACCCTCCCGGGGCCAAAGTGGATGCTTTACACCGTTGACATATCTCACAACGGCCCACATAGGCAGTCACATCTCGTTTCATTCCCAACAAAAACCAGTCGGCCTCAAGTCGACGGTAGGTCTTCAATCCCCCTGAGTGGCCACCCAACACTCCATTGTGATAAGAATGTAGCAATCGCTGTACAATCGGAGACGTACGAGCCACCACCATCCTACCCTTATACAACAAACGGCCCTGTCTGATGGAGTACCCCAGAAACGCAGCCGGATTGTGAGGCAAATCCGACCAAATCTTGGCTAACCGGTCATCCTGCAACACCTGTTGATGGATCTCTTCGGTGTTGACAAATGTGGAAGCTGTCATAGTGGCCATAGCCGGCCCAACCGCTACCCGTGATAATGCATCCGCGGTCTATTCTCAACCCCAGGCCGATATTGAATCTCAAAGTCATATCTCAACAACTTGGTGAGCCACTTTTGATGTTCCATGCTAACGAGACGCTGCTCCAACAAGTACTTAAGGCTACGCTGATCCGTTCAGATCACAAAATGATGCCCCAAAAGATACGGCCGCCACTTTTGAACGGTCAAAACAATGGCCATCAACTCTCGCTCATAAACTGACTTGTTCTGTGCTTGAGCGGATAGGACTTGACTGAAATAAGCAATGGGCCGTTGATCTTGCATCAAAACTGCCCCCAAACCAAATCCCGAGGCATCTGACTCAAGCACAAATGGCTTGGTGAAATCCGGCAATGCCAACACCGGCACACGTGTCATAGCCGACTTCAACCTTTCAAAAGCCTGCATTGCCTCAACGTCCCAATGAAAATTATCCTTCCGGAGCAAATTGATTAAAGGCCCTGCAATTTGACTATATCCAGCCACAAACTTCCGGTAATAACCCGTCAACCCGAGAAATCCCCATAACTCCTTCAAATCTTTGGGAGGTGGCCAATTAACCATGGCCTCTATTTTAGTAGGATCAGCCGAAACTCCCTCCGCAGAAACAAAATGGCCAAGGTACTCAATAGAACGCTGGCCAAAACTACACTTCTTAGCATTGGCATATAATTAGCATTGCTGCAAAACCGATAATACCTGGCCAAGATGGCATTCATGCTCCTCCAAGGAGTGGCTGTAAATGAGTATATCATCAAAAAAAACGAGTACGAACTTACAGAGGAAAGCGCGAAGGACGTCATTCATGAGCGATTGAAAGGTCGCCGGAGCATTCGTAAGACCAAAAGGCATAACGAGAAATTCGTAATGGCCTTCATGTGTACGAAAAGCTGTCTTCAGCACGTCCTCGGCTCTCATTCTAATTTGATGATAACCCGATTTAAGGTCGATCTTGGAGAACACCGTTGCTCCATGCAACTCATCCAAAAGTTCTTCTATCACCGGAATTGGAAAACGATCAGGAACTGTCTCCCTATTCAACGCGCGGTAATCCACGCAAAACCTCCAACTTCCATCTTTCTTCTTAACTAGCAAAACCGGACTAGAGTACGAACTGACACTTGGTTGTATTATGCCCGCCGCTAACATCTCTCCAACCAATTTCTCAATTTCCGTTTTCTGAACGTGAGGATACCGATAGGGTCTAACACTTATAAGGGAGGTTCCCTCTTTCAAAACAATTGCATGATCCTTAGTTCTAGCCGGTGGCAGTCCTTCCGGCATTTCAAAAACCTCCCTGTATATACTCATCACCCTTTGCAATTCCAGAGGAACTACCTCCTCCTTAACCGACTGTCTCACACCAAGAGTCCCTAACTCTACCCAAACCCCTTGTCCTTCATGTCTCAAAGCTCTCATTAAAGCCTTGAGCGTTACCGGTGACTTGTTCAATCCCGGATCACCTTTTAATGTCACTTGCCTTCCTCCCAAACCGAACTTCATGAGTAAGGTCTTCCAATTCACAAATACAACCCCCAAAGTTTCCAACCATTGGATACCCAATATCAAATCTAAACTTCCTAGTTCCAAAGGTAGAAAATTTTCAACTATTTCAATTTCTTGCATGGAAACCAATACTCCCCGGCAAATTCCCTCTCCTCGCACCGCTAACCCGGTTCCCATCACCACTCCATAACCTCCTGTCCTATCCACTGGTAATTTCAATTTCTGAACCAAATCACATGAAATGAAATTGTGGGTAGCCCCACTATCTATTAACACAATTACCTCACAACCATGGACGACCGCCTTAAGCTTCATGGTTTTCGGTGCTGTCAAACCCACGACTGAGTTGAGGGATAATTCCACCATTCCTTCTTCTTCAGCCGTATCAATCTTCTCCACTTCTGCCTCACCCTGTTCCTCTTCCTCACGGACAATCAGAACCTGCAACTCACGATTCGGACAACGGTGGCCAAAGAAATATTTCCCATCGTATCGGTAACACGGACCCTTCTCCCTCTTAGCTTGCAGCTCAGCGTCAGTCATACGCCGAAAGGGCGCTGCTCCCGTGACCTGGTTCGTTGTTTTCCGTTCGTCCAGAATTCTGCCTTTTTCATTTGAAGCTCCATTAAAACGCAGACCACTAGTTGTCGTTTGGCTCCCTTTATGTTCATTAATTCCATTTCCTTTTCCCCAAACCGGAAACGTTGGGCCTTGGCCTTTTGGGCCGCGTACCATAAGGTTACTCTCTTCCACCCGCTGGGCTACCTCCATAATTCGACCCAACCCCAACGGTTTCATTAGTCTTATCTCTGCCCGTACCTCAGGCTTCAACCCGTTAACAAATGAACTCTCCAGAACCTCCTCGGAGATGTCCCTCAACGGCGCTGCCAGGACCTCAAATTGCTTCTGGTATTCTCTCACCGACGTTTCCTGTCGAAGGGACAACAACTTCTCACACAAGCTGCCTTCTTGCGTCGGTCGGAATCGTTCGAGAATCATCACCTTCAATTCCGCCCAATTCCGAACCATCCGCCGTCCATCCTCCCATTGAAACCACGCCAAGGCTTCTCCATCGAGGCTGACAACTGCAACATCCAACTTTTCGTTCTCCGTCAGGCCGTTCATCGTAAAGTATCTTTCAGCCCTAAAAATCCAGCCATCAGGTTTTTCCCCGTCAAACGTCGGCATCTCCACTCGCCTGGTCCGACAATCGACGCGCGTTCCAGATTCACGCGGTTGCCTGACTCTCTCGCTCGTCTCTTCCCCTGGCGTCGTCTGTCTCACCGGAGCTTCTACTCCGGCTGTCTGGGAATTCCGCCGTTCCTGGCGCTGGATATTCACCAGTTCCTCCATTCTTGCCAGCAGCAAGTCCATACCTTGCTCCAGTCGAGGAATCTTCTTCAATTCCTCTCGTACCTCCTCCAATTCCCTTGCGAACTCCTCTCTCGTTCCTTCGGTCTTCTCCTTCTCGCGGTCATCAGTGCGTCTCGTCATACCAGGAAGTCGCTCTGATACCAAATGATAAGCTCCTATTTCTCGGTTAGTAGTAATTTGAAGAATTCAAAGGAAAACTAACAGAAGCTTGATTTGTATTAATGGCGGAAGATTGGTTACAGGAAGATAAGGGGATTTTCGAGAGATCCCTTGCTCTCCTAGGTTTCCACTTCTCAGAAGTTGTACAAAATGAATCGATGCCACTTTATTCTACCTCCTAATCTATTTATACTACTAAGCCTTATTCCTCTTACTAATTCCAAGACTAACGAACTAGTAACTGCCTACTGACGCAGCCTATCCCTATTCCCCTTTCCGAGTAATACCCTCCACCTCAGCAACCACTTGAGTTTCAGCTGCCAACCTTGGCTCGTGGTGGTGTTTCCTCCGAGCATATGTAAAACGCACGGGGGGCCTATCACAACGTCGGAAGGATTGGAGGAGGGAATACATACTAAACACAATGAGTGAAATATCCTCCCCGTCTTCTCAATTTGCTTCACCTAAGTTATTTTCCGTTCCGTTCTTCCTATTTTCTTTTCTTCTTACCAAACACAACCTTAACTGTTAGAACTTGTCTAAAGCAGCAAATGAATTTCTCTTTTTACCAAGAAAATATATTATATTATATTTCTGCTTTTCCTTCACAAGTTGAGGTGGGCTGGCGTCCAATTGGGCTAAATGGCCGACACAAACTTATGCTCTTTATTTATTTTTTCTTATCGTGGCTCTTTTTGCATATCTTTGAGAACTAAAGAAATAAATAATTTGCCTAAAATGAAACTATTATTTGTTTGCTTGTTCTAATATAATCTTTGATCACAGATTTGGTGGGAATGATTTACCTCTGGACGATATTGCTGCAGTCATTCTTTTGGTAACGTTTCATCTTTTAATTTGAAACTACAAACTAGAAACCATAATTCCTACTTATAAACATGTATTATTCTTTTTATATATATAACAGCATAAACATGAGAATTGTAAGTATGAGGATTATAATTTGATTTCAGGTTTATTTTGGGGTTTCAACCTTGCTTGATGCCAGCTCAAGTGATGGTCTAAAAGCAGAAGATGAACAGAAAGAGGTAATACCATCACACTTAAGGCATTTTTCTTTTCATTTTTACAATCTTTTTGTGTTTTTTTTTTTTTTTTGTTCAAATTACTTGAAATTATCTCCTAATCCCTTTCATAGTAAGAGTTGATTTACCAACAACATTTGGATTCTGAATCAGGCCGAGTTAGCTGTTTCAGAATTTTCAGGAAATGGTGCCGGGATATTAGCTGCTGCTAACACTGTCATTAGCACTTTCTTCTTAGTTTTTGTTGCTGAATGGGGTGACAAATCATTTTTTTCTACAATAGGTAAGTTGTAACTCGTGACAAGATTTCATTTTATATTCAAAAGAAAGAAAAGATAAAAGATTCATAGCTGAGATGTGCTGAGAGTATTCATATTTTGAGAAGATTCTTTCACTCTTGCTTTAGATTTCCAACTAGGAAGATAGTCGTTCAAGTGGATGACTAATCTCAGTGGTTTCTTTTTCTCCCAATTTTTTATGTTTTCTTTTAAGCTTGATTCTTGAATATAGTAGAACTTGAGATGTGAAACATGAATAACACCATAAGGCTCCGGTGGTACTGAGTGCCACCCACTAATAGAAGGTGGGTCTCGCAACATGGGGCCCATTGGTCTGGCCCACCTTCTAAAAGCGGTGTTGCTTGGCACCGATAATGTTCCGAAGCATTTTTCATGAAAAAAATAAATTAAATGGAAATAAGCATTAGAAGTGACTCTTTTTTTTTTTGGCATCCTTTTGGGAATGGAGTACACTACATGTGCATTATGTGTCTAGTATCTGATGCATTTGAAGGAATAATATGCAATCTGTTGACTCTATACCATGAAAACAAACTAAACTCTGATGAAGGATTTGGAGTAGTCAAACACAAAGGAATACTTTATATTTTCCATTGAACTAAAGGGCTCTCTTTTTTATGTTCTTGTCCTTTTGGTTGTATATATATATATATATTCGTTTGCATGTTATCCTTTCTCTGGTCTTTCCACAGCTTTTCTCACTGCTTGGGAGTGAATCCATAATTTTTTTATTTTTTATTTTTTCAATTCATCCAACAAGACATAGCACATGGGTCCCACTCTTGTCTATCTTCCTGATCATGTTCCATAATAAGACAATTCTTTTGCTTCTTATGCAGCACTTGCTGCAGCCTCTTCACCCCTTGGAGTCATCGCAGGAGCATTGGCTGGTCATGGAGTTGCAACTTTGGTAGTTTTTTTTTATTTCTTTTGAGTACAACTTAAACTTTGCTGTGAACCCACCAAAACCAATTACCAAACAAAAAAAAAAATATCTAACAATACAATGATAATAAATTATACAAATTTATTAACAAGAAGGCAGAAGCTAGCTTGAACTTGAAAAATACTCTTTCAATTATAGATATTTTTTATGAGGCTGTGATAACTATAGATTTGATATGTTGCATTTAACAATTCAGTAATCATTTTTATAATAACGTAAAAGATCAGTGCATTGGGGCAACAAATAAATTGTTTTGCAGATCCATTACACATTTTTTTAATAGTATATTTGCATAGATTCTCTCCCCTTTTCTGAGCTAATCAACTCTTCTTGATCATTTCTTTTATCACATTGTATAATGAACTTGTTGTCCTGAATCCTGAGCTATTTTGTCAAATTCCCTTGGCTTGCAGCTTGCTGTTTTGGGAGGTTCTTTATTGGGCTCATTCTTATCAGAGAAGGTAAAGTTCACTTCAAGCATATAATCCTAAACTCTTAGCACATATACTCCTCTACATTTCCGATTAAGCGCGCTAATTCTTTACTGTCGAATATAATCTTAAACTCTTAGCACATATACTCCTCTACATTTCCGATTAAGCGCCCTAATTCTTTACTATCGAATACAATAATACGAAAGAAAAGGCAAACTAGCACACACTATTGAACCAGGTGGCACATGTTCATTGGTTACAAGAATCAGTACACAGCAAGTTGGCTCTAGTTTGTTAGGATGTTAATAAGCTGTTAGAGTGTAGTATGGTAATTGAGCATTGTAAATTCAATTTATGATTGAATTAGATAAAAAGGCTTGACTATATGTTTTAGTCGGTGGTCTAGTTTAGTGAGCGGTGCTGTGTGTGTACAAAAGGCAATTAGAAGTTAGAGAGAGAAGGGTATTAAGCGCTGGGTGTTCTTTTCAGTTCTTGATGTGGGAGAAACTGAATGTGAGATGAGCGTTTGTAATCCTGAATTTCTAACCGTGATTGGAATAAGAGTTCTTGAGGTTTTTCCAGGTAAAGTCTTGTGTTTTGTACTGGTATTTTGTTATTCGATTTCTGTAATTGGTGATTTCTTGGTGAGGTTTTTTGGATTTGTTATCACACACACAATATTGATAGCAGTTTATCCTTAATGTAAGAGCTACGTCCACTTTCAGCTCTTCTAAATTTTAATGTGGAGCTTTATGTCTCTTTTCTCGGTATTCTTCTCTTATTTAAAATACTCAAAACCTCTAATGCAAGCGTAATTGAAATAACTGAGAGACGTGTGACAATTAGGCTCCACTTGCACACTAGAACCGCATAATTTGCGAATATCCATTCGGCTAGAACCCATATCTTCCTTTGACAAAGTCTGTAACGAGCAAAAGGGATAAAACTCAATGTAGCGAAACACTAGAAACAGAAAATGTGGACTCCAGCCAGTGCGTCCTTTCAGAAGACAATGTATAGTTCCACAACATAGCAACTCTAAGTGAGTTGGCAGCATAATTTGTACAGAGACTTTAGAAGGAAAAAAAGGTCCTTTGGTTGGAGCAACATGTTCTGTAACAAGAAAAGTTTCATTTCCATGCAACTTTTCCCAGGTACTAGCAATAGCCCTTTATAGGTTAGCTATTAGTCCTTTGCTTTATTTTAGTGGTCCAAATGAAGTGCTACTCTTGGAAATATCTTGAATTGCATGGAAGTTTTTGCAAATAAAAATATGGTCTCTTTTTTTTTTTTTTTTTTTTTTTTTTTTTTTTTTTTTTTTTTTTTTCTTGTGCAGGCAATTGCCTACATTGGAGGAGTTCTTTTTCTAGTGTTTGCTGCTGTGACATTGGTTGAGATATTGAACTAAAAGATCTAGAAAGGTTAATACATTATTCTTTGCCTGATGAGAATTTTGTTTTGTACCACTACATATTTACCGCAGCAACTTTTTCTATTCATTGCCGTAAGGTGGATTAGAAAGGAACATTTGTAATTTTGTATTGTTTTGTAGTAATTATGACTTTTTACCCATTTTATTCTCCCTATTATTTTTGCAGAAATAGTAGAAAATAAGTCAATATGAAAAGCTTAAGAAAGTATATAGGTCAATTTTTAGTTATAGAAATTAATAAGTCATAACTTGTTAAGTTATGATTCATAACCAGATAAGTTATGGACAAACTTGTCAAGTTATGGTTTATAACCAGACAAGTTATGAACAAAAACCGTGAATTATAGACAATAACTTGTTAAGTTATGGTTCATAACCAGACAAGTTATAAACAAAAACAGTAATTTGGCCTATTTATTAACTTATGTAAACTATTGGCCTATTGATTTTAATTTATCTCAAGTCTTAGCCTATTTCCCTCTTTCTCCCTTATTTTTGTTGGCTATCATTACTTTTGGTTATGTTTAATTATTTTATTTTTAATCTGCCATAGAAGGAATTGATTAAGAATTTAAACTATGATACATGGTTGCAAAGTTGGTGCACAATAGAAACCCTCGTGGAAGATGTATATATATATATATATATTGAGAATTTTGTTTAAAAAACAGCTTGACAAGAATTTGTGTCTTTCTTTCAAAGTATTCCTTGTTTGAAGATACTAAATTGGAAAAATACTTGAAAGCGTCGTTGATGTCTCATAATATGAGATCTACTTTTTATCATTAAATGATACTCAACACTACGTATCTTATAATAGTATTGTTCATTTGAATTGAGACATTTATAAGAGTGAGAAATAGAGTGGAAATAAGGAAAAGGTAATTGAGTTTTAAACGTCATATCTTGTTTGATTTTGATATGATTTAATCTTAAAAAAAAAAAATGCATAGTGAAACAATATGCTAATTCGCGGGGACAAAGGGACAAGTAGGAAGGCGGAGGAGATAACAAAAAGAAGTGGCAAAATATGTAGTGAACGTGGCAAACCCTAGCCCAGCAGCAAAAGCTTTATAGGGAGAATAAAAATCCAAAGAGTAGGATGATTGTGGAGGCAGACAAACCCCACAACCACAAAATCCCCACTCTGCCTCCTTTCCCACCAACCTTTTTCCCACGAGCCTTCCTTTTTCCTTTTCCCCATTTAGCTTCCAATTGTACTACCACACCCCCACTTACTTCCTTCTCATTGACAATTGAAAATAGGAATTATAATGCAACGTTCATTTCACCGATTTGAGTTTTTAATTCTAAGTTTTTACAGTTAAAAGCTCTCAAAAAATATTATATCTAACTTTTTCTGTTACAATTAAAAGCTCTCAAAAAATGTCACATATTAACTCGAATTGAAAATTCAAATCCGCGAAGCGAGCGAAACTAGAAAAAAAGTATTAAGAGAATACTAATCACACACTTAACTATATATAAAATGGTTGAGTTGCGAGTGCCTAACTTTTGAATTCAGCGATTAGGATATCTTTCTTTTTTATACTTTCAAAATAGATTTAAGGTTCGATACTTTATAACCTTAACAATGCAATGATTGAGTTGTAAGCATTTCAACACAAGAGTTAAAGATGTTTTTCTTTCTTTCACTCTCGAGATGGGTTTAATATCAAATACTACATAATTAATCTCACTCTAAGTTTCGTGTTTGGTCAATGATTCGTCACCTACTTAAGCTCATCTTTTGTGTAAAATTGGATGAGACCTTAAATTTTTAGGACAGACAAAAAGATGGGAATGAGATGATACTAATAATTTTTTCTTTTTAGCACTTTGATTATGTTTAGTGTGGTAGCAATATTGCCACTAGTGAATGAAGTGTGTTGTAGCACTACTAAACGTCACAACATCATATTATTAATCATCGTCGGCAAAAATGTAAACACGTGTTAATTAGACATCTATTACATAAGAGCGGTGCTACAATGCGTTTCATTATTCTTTAGTGATTCTCCTCTGTTTACCAAATAAACACGTGTTTCATTATTTTTACAAACTAGATGAATACTAGCCTTGAGAGTTGTGATCATAAAAGTCAAGACAAAAAGAAGTCTAGTTAAATAATAATAATTAGTAGTAGTTAAGAATATCTAGTTGAGGTAATCACTATTCTCAACGTGATTTGGTAGGGTTGTACATAAACCCAAACAACATGTAAACCCAATCCATCACATCCAAACCAAACCCGAAAAAGGTAATTTATAGTATTATTTTTTATTTTTTAGCCCACTAAATGTCTGGCCCGAGGTGTTTGGGACGGTTTATGTGTTGAGCCTATAATAACCCGCATACCCCCAACCCAACCCGCATAAACATGTCTGATAAGGAGCCTATAAATGTGGACTGATAAAGATAGTTGTTGTTGCAGTGTTTACTTTGAATGAATTTGAATTAAGCCTATAATTTATGTTTGCTTTACGTTTGATATTGGATGGACTACTTTACTTCATATTTGATGTTAGATTGAACTTTAAATTGCCATCTATTTGATGATTGACTAATCAGTATTATTTGTAGTTATTATTTATATTTGATGATGAACTTTAAATGTTAGATTGAACTTTGATTCTTTAAATGATGAACCCAACCACCCAACTCATCCCGTCCCGTCTCAACCCAACCTAAACATCATTAGGTTGTGAATTTTTTTTAACATCGTTGGGGTTAAATATGTACAATCCGTACTCTTTGAGGCGGGATAAAAAAAAATATTATCCTGCACAAACCTAACTCATGTACAGCCCTAGTGATTAGGTTCGCTAATCATGAATATGCTGCTACTCTCGTCTAATCCATCACATCCAAACCAAACCCGAAAAAGGTAATTTATAGTATTATTTTTTATTTTTTAACTCACTAAATGTCTGGCCCGAGGTGTTTGGGACAATTTCTGTGTTGAGCCTATAATAACCCGCATACCCCCAACCCAACCCGCATAAACATGTCTGATAAGGAGCCTATAAATGTGGACTGATAAAGATAGTTGCTGTTGCAGTGCTTACTTTGAATGAATTTGAATTAAGCCTATAATTTATGTTTACTTTATGTTTGATATTGGATGGACTACTTTACTTCATGTTTGATGTTAGATTGAACTTTAAATTGCCATCTATTTGATGATTGACTAATCAGTATTATTTGTAGTTATTATTTATATTTGATGATAAACTTTAAATGTTAGATTGAACTTTGATTCTTTAAATGATGAACCCAACCACCCAACTCATCCCGTCCCGTCCCAACCCAACCTAAACATCATTAGGTTGTGAATTTTTTTTAACATCGTTGGGGTCAAATATGTACAATCCGTACCCTTTGAGGCGGGATAAAAAAAAATATTATCCTGCACAAACCTAACTCATATACAGCCCTAGTGATTAGGTTCGCTAATCATGAATATGCTGCTACTCTCGTATTAGTTTACAGATCTCTTCTCCAATTAAACTTTTCCATTTTGAGTTGCACTATGGTCACAAAATGATGAATAAAATTTAAAAATAAATAAATAAAATGATCAAATCATTTTGTTCCTATTGCATATTTTAGTAACATCATTGGCATTAATGGGCTACTTATAAATTATTTACGTCGATATCGTTTCAGTTTTTGATCCACGAAGACCATCATCAATAAAATAATAACCAAAAAGGATAAATTCCCTTTTATAAATATACATAAATAGAAATTGAGTAGAGAAGTTTCCAAGGTTGAAGATCTTGTGGGGGCCATTAGACAATATTGCATATGCTCCTAAAGTTAAATGAGCTTTATTTCCCTAATGTATTGTACGGACAACCATGCAAAATGATAACAAATAATAATAATAATCGTTAAAGTAACAACCATATGTTATATTATATATTATTAGTTGGTTGTCACGTGAAAGGACTCGTGCATGAAGCATTGCACGTGCGTCATAGGAACCGAATATTAGTGGGCATATTCTTTCGTCTTTTTTGTTTTTTATTTTTCATTTTTCATTTTTCATTTTTATTTTCATTGCAAAAAGTCTGATGAAAGGACCTCGATCTGTCCACCCACCCACATTCCAATTTCCAATTTCCAATTTCCACATAATAAACTTTTTGTATAAATTAACATTTTTTAATTTTTAATTTTTATTTATGAAAAATACTCAATTTTATGCTGCTATGTATGACCAAACCTTGTAAAGTAAAGTTGGGTGATTGGATCTTACACTTTCCGCGGGGACCAGCCATGGAAAAAGACATGATCCGGCGGTGGCAACTTAATCTTACGCTCTTACGTGTCAGAATGTTGTGACTGGGAGATCAGAAACACAAAAAAATATAAAAAGAATCAATTCCTTTCATATTTTGACTTTTCTTCTCTCTGTTTTTGTATGTTTGAAGATAAAATATGAAAATTAAAAAAAGAAAAAAAAAAATTTGAAAAACCAGGTGCGCTTAATCTTGTCCCAAGAGTTCAACACCACTCTTTTTTTTTTTTTTTTTGGTAAAATTTTGTTTTCGTTATTATTTTCTTATGTGAGCTTAGCTTTTTAATTATTCCTAATTCCATGTAAAAACATCAGTATTTAACAAGCTTTTACATTTTGGATTTTTTTTTTTGAGGGATTCCCATTTTGGATTTGAGTATTGCACATTAGTGTAACAATAAAAGTAAGAAATAAAGTAATGGTAAAGAAAAAATGAAGTGACTAATTGGGTTTCAAAATGTTACAAAGTGATTTCTATAAATAAAAAAAGGATTTAATAAAAGTCATAAATTACATCGCGAGTAATATTTTTTAATCAGAAAAATTCAATAGTTTATTAAGAGATTTGGCAGTGTCTATTTATACGATTTTTTATATTTCACTTAAAAAAATCGTCAACTTTTCCCCCAAAACTTGATTATTTGTTGATTTGTATTCCATAAAAATGATTTTCAACACCTAAAAAAAGAGAAAAAAAAACAATTAAATTGAACAAAAAGCAAAAGTGAGCAGGCAAGATAGATATTTAAGGAGGCGCGATGTCTCTATACGCAGAGGCACGACTACCAAACACGCGCTTGTGCAGAGCGTGGGGATGTGACGGAAGTAATTTGAGAGTTTTTTCCTCGTCGCGGTTAAATATAGCTCAGCTCAGAGGATAACTGCCCAGTGCCAACAATACAAACGCAATTCCGCTGGCTGAGTCATGGGGCCCACAGTTCCATCTAGGTTTTGTCAAACAGCATGCGAAATACGTAGCGCGTGGGGCCCGCATGAAGGAAGGCCGAGGATATAACGAGCGGTGACGAGCCGCTGCCGACTCGGTTCAAAAATCAATAATAATAAATTGCGCTGCACCTTAAATTTTGCATTTTTTACTTTATACACCCCATGGTTTAAATGTTGATAAATTTGCACCTTCAGTTTTAAAATCTGCAGCAAATAATGTCCAATTTATTATTATTAAAAAACTTATAAAATTTGTGAACTCACCATTTAAATACATTATTTTAAAATTTTTATCCTTTTACTCTTAATTAGTATCTTTTTTATTAATATAGTTTTTTTAAATAAATGGTATTAATCAAGTGAGATTCTCGTATGCATCAACACGATATACAATATTCTACTAAATAGATAATTATTCCATGATCCAAGTAAGCCAAGTCTTCAAGAAAAAATAGATAAGATTTAACCCCATAATATCTAAAAAAATCTTGTTTGTTTGAACATGAAGAGATAAAAAAAACCATTGCAATTACTACAAATACTAAGTCCACTAAAGGCACAAAAATAGTGGGTAAGTTATTAATAGTTGTCTTTGAATGAGTGTAGAGACAAAAATTTAAGACTAATGCATTCTAAAAGGTATTTGTCTCATTTCATATAAAAATGGACGATTTGACATGCGCGATTCGCACATGGATGTATAAATCTTGTATCTTGAGCCATCAATTTGACAATGGTAGTAAATTATTGGACTTTAATTGCTATTGGTTTTGAAGCTTAGGTTAATTTGTGAAATTTAAAACCTTGGGGTTATTGTATGAAAAGGTCAAAATATTAGGGGTAACAATGCAATGTACTCAAAAAACATAAAAAATAAAAAATCAACGTCAGGGCTGACTACGTGTCATGGTGGTGGGTTTGGGCTCTCTCTCTCTTCGATGTCGTTTCGCCACGCGACCAAACATGACCTTTCTAACGCGTCGTCCCGCAACGGAAAGGAAAGAAAATCGCGAAATAAATGTGCCTAATCCGTTGCGTTTTGACGCTCCGTTTTGTTATTATCGTTTCGAGTCCCCGCGGTTCGTGTCGTGTGTTTTATTGCCGAAAATATCCTTGAAATGTACCTGTGCTTGATACTGGAACAGGTTCATTGTGCCCTTATCCATCCGGTTCACTTTTAAAAGACAATTAATAAAAAATCTCATGGGGGGGTAATAAAGGGTAATCTAGGGATACAAATGATGAACTCCTTTTGAGGAAAATGATGATGACTCATATGATTCTTCTAAAATATCTACACACACAGTAACGTATTAATGGTATAAAATCGTGTTAAAATTATAAACGGTGTTAAATATGAATATAATTTAGGTGTGATTTTTTTTTTTTTTGGAAGGAAGGGACTGTTAAGGAAATTGAGAACTTGAAAAATCGACAACTTTCATTTCAAAAAATAAAAAGACCAAATTTTGGGTGGTAGAATTTCTCCGCAAACTATACAGAAATATTCTTTATGTGAAGAGTAATTTTCATAAAATTCTACGAAAGTGAGATTGTGTGTTTTTTTTTTTCCTTGCTTGTTTAAAAACTACATAGACATTTAATAGACTTTGTTTAAATTTACTAGTACTTTTACGTCTCATTTTGGTAATTGTGTTTTAACTTTTGAATTGCGGCATTTAACTTGTTAGTTGAATATGCTATCATTTGTGAATATATCATGGTTTCTTATTTAATATGAAAATTTGAGTTGAAAAGTGAATTTATGTGAGAAAAAATAGTGTAATACAAAATGTTAAATTGAAATTTTTATAAGAGAAAATACTATATTAAAATATGTAGTTGTGATTCAAACCAACGAAAAAAATTAAAACATGTAGTTGTGATTCAAACCAACGAAAGCATAATATATTTTTATAATGAAAACAAAATCATGCATTATAAGTCTCTAGCCTAAGAATAAAAGTTAAAAAGTGAATAAGAAAATGAAGATAAAATCTATGATGATCAAATGGAATCTACCACGGTTGCTTAGTTCACTCATTGTACATAGAGAAGTCGCAAAAACTGTAGTAATCCGCCAATATTTGAGCTAGGCGAGGCAACTTCAACATACATGTAATGATGCTACAAAAACTATAAATAACTAACCAAATAAAAAAGATATCAAATGACCCTTTAGTAAAGTCAAAATGTCCATTGGTTTGTTGTAAAATGTAAACCTTTTGTTTGATTTAAAATCAAGCCAACATATATACAACTTTTTTCACTGCCTGATAATGACAATCACAATGACGATAAACTAGAAAGAGTTTGTGACAATAAAAGGAGAATATTCAAATTTGAGCACCGAATTGATAAATAACGTCGTTATTATCATTTCACAAAAGATGGGACAATGAAAAACAGGAATTTCATTTGTTTTTTTTTTTGTTTTTTGTTTTTATAGAGAAAAACATAACCAATCTTGAGTTACAAACCATTCATATTGTGAATCATGCTGACTTGTCACTGAAATGTTGAAAAAAAAAACAGTGAACAGATAATATTTCAATAATTAAAAAGGGAAAAAGAAAAAAAGTTGAAAAAAATCTCAAAGCAAAAAGACATACGTTATTTGTTTTTTTTTTAAAATAGAATAATTATGAAAAATATAAGATACAATTTTAAACTGTTGAATTTTCATAAATTTCATTAAATGAATATACTTTTTGTATCTTATCTAATTAACGGTTCAAAACCATTAAAATTTTCTATTTCTTATTTTGGTCCCATTTATTTTATCAATTTGAGTTTATAATTCGAGTTATGCTACAGTAAAAACTTTCAGAAACAGTCACATCTGACTTTTTTACTACAGTAAAAAGCTCTCACATAAAATCACATATCAATTCGAATTAAAAACTCGAATCAGCGAATTAAACGGGCTCTTTATTTTATCTTTTTTCACTCAAATTATAACTATAATTAACTATAAAATCTTATAGAAGGGTTAGATATGAAATTATGGCCAGACTATATACTGAATTCATATAAGTTCACTATGTTTTCTTTAAAAGAAAATCTGCTATTTTTTTTTCACTTTAACCGTGGTTAGGAATGAATTAACCGTGGTTATATTTACGAAAGGAGCGACTTTGGTATTTTATTGACACGCGCATCCTCCTTTCATTTCCACCACTCCGCTCTCTCTCTTTCTCTCTCTTAAATCCTTTGTCTCTCTATCTCTCTTTCTCCCTTCGCCGCCTCCTCCTCTTGTCTCTTCTCTCCAACCGGCGACTTAGCCCTAACTATGCCCTCAGCTCCGACCTAATCGCCGGAGAAAGCCAAGCAAAATCTTATCGAACTTCAAGGTAATCCGTTTAAGTCCGTTTGAATTCATGTAAAGTCTCCGGCTTTGTTCTTTTTGGCCGAATTTCTTGACTCTGTTTTTCCACAACGTTCTGGCTTATTGAATTCTATGTTTTCCCAATCCAGATCTGTTTGGTTGCTCGGATTCTGAGCGGGAAAAGATTTTTTTTTGGTTCTTAATTTGTTTACGTTATATTTTTTCTTCGGGAATAACGATTTGCTGTGAATTCAGCTTTTTTTTTTTGGTTTTGAATTCCGTGAAGAAAAGTGTGGAGCTAAATGTTTTTTTATTATATTATGTGATTTTTATTTTCTTATTTCACTTTTCTCGGCAACCAAGCATTGCAGAGTTTGTGTTTGTACCAATTTCCACTATTTTGTTGTTCGTTTAGTTTTTATTCTTGTTTTTATACTTTTGGTTTCGCATCTGAATTTATCGGATTTTAACTTATTGACGGAGTTCAATTTCTTACATATATCATTAGATCATTTTTAAGGTATTTACAGATTACTTCAATTTGTCAAATCTTTTAACGAAATGTCGGTTATGTATCTATTTTTTCAAAAACTTCGTACCCATTTTATATATAACTTTTCATGTTTCGATTTCATTTGATTTTGTAAAAATCGAGGAAAAGACGGGTAAAAAAGAATTTAAAAAATAAACTTGGTGGTTTGCAAGTATTTTTACCACGTCTTTTACATCGAATTTTGTCTTGGAAAAATCAGTTATTTTCTTTTTGTTCACTGCTCTATGTGCTAAAGCCATCTGTTTGTTTGATAACTTTTGTTTTGTTTTGTTTTTTTTTTTCAATTTTGCGGTTTGGTTCATTTTAATTAAATAGTTAATCTCATTTTTTGTATACACAATATAAGTATCTTTTATGACTTCATAGTTGATGTTAACTGTACAAATTGATTTATTCTCGTATATTATTTTCTGTGTCTTCTGTGTTCGGATGTCGGGATTGCTATTCCTTTTAGCTGTTGGTCATTGTCATTCTGTTAAATGGATGTTCTGCTTGTGTATAAGATTATTATGATTATAATAATAAGAATTCCGTTTGTTGTTGCTTAAATAATGGAGGAAAAAGAAAAAAAGGTTTGAGTGATTTAGTTTCTTGCAATCTGGTAGTTCTCTGACTTGCTTAAATTGGACCCATATCTTCTGCTCAAGTTATTCGAAGAAAAGATTTTATGGAATTACTTAATGATGTCAGAGAAACCAATTTTTTCAATACATTTGGAGTGTTAGTGATTCACATGAATATTTGCAATCTGAGCATGGTAGAAAATAATACATGTTTCTTTTTTATGTCTATTATAGACTGTCAAGTTCTGCTGTAGTTTTCTTCTGATAACATGATTTCCTTTGTTGCAGGATATGATTGACTGCCTTCTTGCTGGCGAGATATCAAGTTCTGTTGGGTTCCTTTGCATTGGTTGAAAGTAATCAGTGAAAGTCTGGTTTAGAATTCTCTTTTAAGAAATGGACCGGCGTGATACCTCGGGATTTGTTAGCGGGGGTGGGATGTACTCTTATAGAGACATCTAACCCTAGTTTTGTAGATAGATTTTTTTGCAGCCCGGAAGTCAGGCAGACTGTACTTTTGCAATTGGTTTTAAGTTCGTGTATTACAATTGGACATTAGCTATAATAATGGATGACAGGTTCCAGAACTTGGGTTTTGCTGCTAATTATTCTTCGAACGCATTCAAGGTCTTGGGTAACTCTATGCACTTTGGGGTAGCCAGAGTTGAGACTCGTGCAGATACTATCTTACGTCTAAATTCCCCTGGTGCTTCACTCCCTTTTATGTCAAGCTCAAAGGGAACTAAACGGAAGTGGAGTTTGGTTGATCCCTCTGTCTGCCCCCAAGTTGACTCATCGTTGTCTCTTGGATTGCTTGGCCGTTCATCAAGTTCCTCAGACAGCAAGGGCAGCTCAGCAACTGCTTGCACTACGATGTCTTCAGCCAAAGAGGCGGACGAGGAGTCCTCGATGGATCTGGAATTGGACTTTACATTGCATCTTGGCAATGAAAAGTTGTCCAGCCCCAAGAAACACACTATTTCAAATGTTAAAGCACTGGAGGTGCAGCCCAAAGTTGACTTGGAGTTGAGTCTCTCTACTGGCCCCTCTGAATCTGAAATCACTAGTGTTCATCTATGTTCCAATTCACTTCAATCTGGAGTAGAGATGCCACCATCAGCTTTTCAGAGCAACAGTGCAGATGAAGGATCAACTTCGTGCCAATGGAAACAAGAGATTGCGGTGCAGCCATTGCCAACATCAGCCAACGTAAGGGATAGCTTTCTATTCAAACAGGTTCCCCAAAAAATTGATCCAAGTCCCATTGTTCTGGACCTTTCATCAAGTGTATTAACTGCTCCAAAAAGCTCAGTCACCTGTACTTCCGGGTTAACACAGCAGCAACAGACGCAACTGCGCAGTACTAGTTCAAAGACATGTGAGGTTGAGGGATGTGGAAAGGGAGCTAGAGGTGCTTCCGGCCGATGCATATCTCATGGTGGGGGTCGTAGGTGTCAAAAACAAGGTTGCCACAAGGGTGCTGAGGGCCGGACAGTGTACTGCAAGGCCCATGGGGGTGGACGGCGGTGTGAATTTCTTGGGTGCACGAAGAGTGCAGAAGGACGGACGGATTTCTGTATTGCTCATGGTGGTGGTCGAAGATGCAGCCATGAGGGTTGCACTCGAGCTGCCCGAGGGAAATCAGGCTTGTGTATCAGGCATGGTGGTGGCAAGAGATGTCAGAGAGAAAACTGCACGAAGAGTGCAGAAGGGCTTTCTGGCCTCTGTATCTCACATGGAGGTGGTCGTCGTTGCCAAGCTTTAGGATGCACAAAGGGAGCGCAAGGGAGCACCATGTTCTGCAAGGCTCATGGTGGTGGAAAACGGTGCACTGCTCCAGGATGCACCAAGGGAGCTGAAGGGAGTACTCCTTTCTGCAAGGGCCATGGTGGAGGTAAAAGATGTGCTTTCCAAGGTGGTGGGGTTTGTTCGAAGAGTGTGCATGGTGGTACCAACTTCTGTGTGGCACATGGGGGAGGTAAGAGGTGCGCCATGCCTGAGTGCACAAAAAGTGCTAGGGGACGGACCGACTACTGTGTTCGCCACGGTGGTGGCAAACGATGCAAGTTTGAAGGGTGTGGCAAGAGTGCACAGGGCAGCACTGATTTCTGCAAGGCACATGGTGGAGGAAAGCGATGCTCTTGGGGCCATCCGGGATCAGAATACGGAAACCAACCTACTGGTCCTTGTAACTCATTTGCCAGGGGCAAAACGGGGCTTTGTGCTCTCCACAGTGGCCTGGTGCAGGACAAAAGAGTTCATGGAGGTGTCACCTTGGGACCTTTAGTTCAGGACCCTAAACACGAGAAGCCAGAGAAGACGAAAGAGGTTATCGCAGAGGACATGAACCTCGACGTCACTAAAGTGGCGAGTAGCAGTTTCTTTGATCTCAAGCAATCCGGTGGTGCGAGTAATTTCTCAGTTGGGGAAGGCAGGGTGCACGGTGGAAGCCACTTCGTCAAGGTTAGTTCAGTTCTCGGTGCAAGCAGCAGTGCAGGTGTTGTCATCAGCGACTCCTCCAAGCCAATGAAACCTTACATGCTGCCGCGTAATTGGATGTAATGCTCCGGTTCCTCCCCTGCTATTTAATTACGTTTTCCCGTTGTTGGCAGGCATGTCCGGTGTCATTTGCATTATAGTCAGGTCTGTTGTTTTCATGTGTTTAGTTTAAGTTATGAGTTGGTCATTCATTGGTTCCTAGTTGAGAGAACCATCGAGTACTTTCTACACAGTTGTTAAAATTAAGGTAGGATACAGTTTGGTGTTTTTCTTTCCTGTAAATATTTATAAGGTGTCCTGTCAGTTAATGTCGTGGATACAGGTCGCGCCACCTGTAAGGTCGGTCAGTTTGTCGGACATTCTGGTTAATAAGAAGACCTATCTTTCGGTTCTTCTTCGTTGTTGTCTTCTTTTGATTGCTGCTTTACCCTCTCTCTTGTGGCCATAAATACACATCCTCTGCTTTTATGTCGTTTTTGAAATTATGGGTCTTTTCGTATGTGGAATACAGAGAAGTTTTGGTTCCCGGGAATAACATGAAAGGAGAATTTCCTGCTCGACCAAAACAAACTTTTTGTGAAACGGCAAGAAGCAAAAATGTGATTTTTTAATCACCTATTTCAACTGGCTGTTGAATAAATAGTCAATTTTAAAAGAATTTATTGTCAAATCTCTTTCAGGTATGAATCTTTTTGAATCCTAATTCATAAGGGTAGAACTTACATCAGTATCTCAATTTCAATTCAAACATGAGAGTCGTTTCTTGAAAACATTTAAGGTGCGTTTAGAATTCGTTCTAAAATGATTTTATTTTTTGTATGAAAATGAAAATGAAAATGTTTTCAATCTCAGATAGGAATCATTTTTAAAAATGCGTTTGGTAATTTTATCAAGAGATTGTTTTCAGTATAAAAAAAATTCATTAATGTCTCTCTTTGTGCTCGAGAAGGAAGAAAACGGAAACACAAAATAAAAAAACGACTAAAAGTTGTTTTTCATTTCTCCTATTTTACACTAAATTATCGTTTTCATTTTCATTTTTTGTTTTTAATTGTGACAAACGCCGTTTTTCTCTCGTTTTTATTTTTTTTTTCTCAAAAAACGTGAAAGACAAATAAAACAAACTTCAAACACGGCCTTAGTGTCAATGGTTGATGGGGTGTGTGTGCTTCTCAATTTCAATTCAAACATGAGAGTCGTTTCTTGAAAACATTTAATGTCAATGGTTGATGGGTGTGTGCGCGCTTCTCTCTCTCTCTCTTTTTTTTTTTTTTTTTTTTTTTTTTGTGGAAATGGTTGATGCTGGTTGGGAACCTGAGATATGGAGGATAGCACAAAGAAGAGACTGGAGTAGAGTTAAAGTGAAAGACCAATGATGAGTTCGCCCCTTTTTGCTTATTAGAGATTGTATTATGGTATGAAAAGTATAACTAATGTCGGCACTTTCCAGATAATAACATTTAACATTTATAAGGAGAATACAAGGATATTTACATGACATGTTAATGCCTTTTCGTTTGGTTGATGAGAGATGTAGGCAAACAATGGATAACGCTTGTTGCTAAATGGAGAGTTGAAAAATGAACTTCAGATTTTTTTAAAAATATTGTACAGTAATGATGGCTTCAATAAATAACATTGGTTGTCATTAAATCAGACGCTGCGGTTTCGTAAAGAATGCACAAGGGGGAAAAAAATGTGTATAATTTTATAGCTGGTACAATATTTTGCATTAACCTGTCTCCAATATAACGAATTTGCTGATGATTGTGCTACTAAGATCGTGACAAATGAATCCTTGTGCTTGTAACTGACGTTGTGCTTCTTCCTTAAAACTATAGAACATTATTCTCCCAAAAAAAAAAAAAAAGATATGGTATAACTTCTACTCACTTCTGTATTATACATTTATTCTGCGTTCTTTCCTTTTCTTGATCATCACTCCAATGTAAGAAAAAATATATATATAGTTAGACCTGTTCCTTATGTAATTCCTCGTGTTTGAACTTAGCCAACTTAGAAAGCTCATCAACTGCTTCAACCAAGTGATCAAGCCTGGCCACAAACTCGATAAGCAGGGAGGTGAAGTTGGCCAGTGACAATGCTGCAGTGGACTCAAAAGTTCTCATTCTCGGCAAGAAATCCACATTCAACGCCCCATCTTCTTCCTGGAAAGCATCGACCTCTCTGGACGGCCACGAATGAAGCCTTCTCGATTGCTTCCTCATCAGCTCGTGGTAAGATTCTGTCTGAACTGGTGGCGTGTTCTGCGTCTGAAGAAGCTGGTTCGAGCTCTTCGCAAGGCTATTGCTGTAGAATTCGCTGGCCAGTGGCTCGCTTGGGACGTCGTAGACAGTGGAGGACAGAGTGTGAGTGAGTTTTGGGAGCAGCGGCTTTGAAGGGGTGTCGGGTGGGGGGATGAGGTCGGAACAGGAGGTTAGGAGATAAGAGTGCATGGCCACTGCACGCTGGAGTCTCTCGGCAGAGCAGTGAACTCTCTTTATTAGGGAAGTTTTGTGGCTTCGTTTCATGTTGCATATATCTTTGCCCAAGCTCCTAAGCAACTCTGCACCCTGGTTCGTCGCATCTTCAATCTCGCTTTGGAATGTGATTCTGAGGTTGTACGGTGCCTGCAGCCACTTTTTTGTGTCAAATATGCGCCCCCGAAAAGGAAACAAAAGTAGAAAGGAAATAGAAGATAGCAGAATGAGTTTCATATAGTTTTAGTGTCAGCTTTCATTTTGGTGTCTTAAGTTTTCGACTTCTCCCAGTCCGTTTTAAGGTCTAGGACACTAATTTCTGCTCAAAATCTGACACTGCTAATTATGCTCCGGCAGTTTCAAGTTTTGCATACCTCAAAAGGTGAGATAGCTTATGCAGTTTTCCATTTGAGTAGTGGAATGGTTCTGAAAACCTGAAAACCTTGAGATATGTCAAGAGAAATCCCGGTAACAGAGGATTTGGAGCTCCCAATTTCACTAGTAATATTCTTATGTAAAATAATAGGGTCATGGGATTAGAACTCCAAGTTCGAACTGAAAGTGAGACTTTACGTCGGGCCGAGATTAAGGAGAAAAAGGTCAACGCAATCGACTCAATTTAATAAATAAATAAATAGAAAAAATAGAGAATTTATTTTTAAGAGTGCATGAGTTTAAACTTTTATTATTTACTCTTGATAATTACCCTTTTATTAGTATAATTATTTGACTAACAATGTTTATGAATCAAGAGTAGATGATAAAAATCATGATTCATGCACTTTCAAGGGTATTTATCAAAATTGCCTAAATAAATAAGACTAGTCAATCCAAGACCTTATATGGGCTAAAAAATGGGCTTCAAGTCAATCAATTTAATCCGGCCTAAACTTACGTCTACAGTTGTTATTGAAAGTGAAATTCACAATAGGACTTTGGGACAGAGACCAAACAAACGTGAAAGTTTGTTCAGGATTTTTCTGTCACCCAGCGATTATTATTCCTTTCATCAACCACCCTCAAATGGACACCAATTAGAGAATAAGTAAATAGCATAATTCTTGACACATTCGATTCTCATTCTTCTCAATTCCACTTCCCCCCACCCACATAATATTCTCCTGTTCTGATAAATCTAGACCGGTAAAGCATGTTTCTTTGAGGATTAAGTTCCATCACAGATTCCTTAGATTTCAGCATCTTGAGCAACAACAATATTAGCCAAGGTTTCTTATTCCTTTTTAAAGATATCCCTTCTAATTATTGCTGTGTATTTAACTTTTTATCAGAGAGAAAACACTCCCTAAACACGCTTTAAAAAGTGTAATTAGAATATGTGCTCTTCATTCACACAAGGAAGATTGGGAAATAAGAGAGAGAAAAGTAAAGAAAGGGAAATTGTAGCTAATAGCTTAGTTTTGAATCTTTGTGATAGTATTTACTACAATTGATAATAAATAACATTTTAAATTTTAAAAGAAAATTTGTAGGGGTTGACTATGAGTTTATAAACTAAAAAACTAGTAAATGTTATGTATAAAAATATAATAAATATTGATAAAAGTGTACACAACTCGGGGTTTCATAGAAGTAAATACGGTAAATCATATATTCATCAAATTGGATCATGAGATAAATATGAAATTTATCAGGTAAATGCTGAATTTTTCAAATTTAGTTGTAGGGTAAATCTCTAATAAATATTGATAAAAGTGTACACAACTCGGGGTTTCATAGAAGTAAATACGGTAAATCATATATTTATTAAATTGGATCATGAGATAAATATGAGATTTATCAGGTAAATGCTGAATTTTTCAAATTTAGTTGTAGGGTAAATCTGTAATATGTTGAATAAATCTCGGACTTACTATATTTGATCATGAGGTAAATCTGGAATTTATTTAGTAAATCCAAATTTTACTGCTATTTACTAGTTTATACAAAATTTCTGCTATTGATTTTTATTCCAAAAAAAAAAAGGAGCACTTTTATCTTCTCCCCAGTAAAAATATACCTGAATCTCAGAGTGTAGAACTCCATGAAGTGCCATAACCTCATAAGCACAATATCTCAAAACTGCTCCAACTTTGACATATTCTGACCAAGGATAGAAGAAATGCCCGAACCTGCCGTGTGGTGGCTCCCACTTAGCAGAATTAGCCTATTATGTTTGTCACAAAATGAGACCAAGTAACAGAAAATTGTTATCAGTTTTATTTGTATAGATTGAGAAAAGACTTTGCAAATCTTTAGCAGAGACATGAAAAATAAGTACCAAATTCTCCAGTTTTGCTGAGGAGTTCAATGTGGTTTTGCATCTCTTGTAAGCAGGCTCGTCCGGGAATTCATCCGTGACTGTTTTGGAGAATTCAGGATGTTCTGACCCGTCATCTTTCAAATATTTCCCAACACATTCTGAGATTGCAAAAGCAAAATCACAGTTTACAAAATTATAGAATATATATTTATCTTTCAAACTATGTAGTTTCTAGTTTTTGGGCATGTTTTGATTTTCTCTTGTCTTGGCAATAACAATGAGAATGTAACTGGTTTTTTAGAACCTTCAAGTGAGTCAGCCACAGAGTTGAAATTGTTGACAAGCTCCTTGTGTAATTGCTCTCCTGCCCAGATGGGAAAAACTAGCACATTCACTAAGACTGCTACAACTCCTCCAATGGCAATCGAGTAGAGTCGGTCCATGGCGGTCCTCATTGGATTTCCCACCCGGTAACCGGTCACTATGATTAAACAGTAGGTGAAAAGTATGACCCTGAATCCATACTCATATTGGACCATTGATGGCCACAATTTCATGAAGGATGTAATAGTCCCTGCATATGTTTAGCAAAATAAAGACATGAATGAATCTCACAATTGGAAAATTAGTAATTTCATGTAACACATTATTAAACAATTTCTTCAAAAGACCAAAATTGAATACTGATCATTAGTGTGGCCCCCCTACCGGACTATAGAGCCCACCCACCCTAAAAAAAAAAAAAAAAAAAAAAAAAAAAAAATTTTATAAAAAAAAAAAAAGATCGAGTAGAGTCGGTCCATGGCAGTCCTCATCGGATTTCCCACCCGGTAACCGGTCACTATGATTAAACAGTAGGTGAAAAGTATGACCCTGAATCCATACTCATATTGGACCATTGATGGCCACAATTTCATGAAGGATGTAATAGTCCCTGCATATGTTTAGCAAAATAAAGACATGAATGAATCTCACAATTGGAAAATTAAATACTGATCATTAGTGTGGCCCCCCTACCGGACTATAGAGCCCACCAACCCTAAATAAAAAATAAAAAATAAAAAATAAAAATAAAAAAACATTTTTACTAATCAGAAATCAGAAAATAATATAGGTGGGGGATACCTATGAAGAAGATGCTTATGCCAATGATTATAGGTTCAGCTACTCGGCCAGTGCATAGAGCCAGTTGCGCTACACAAATGGCTAAGATTCCAGCAAGTAAACTCCCAAGCGCTCGATTAAATCCTCTGTTAAACGTTGCCCCTAAAAAACAATATTCATTTCAACACAACACAACAGTACAAAACATCACACATAATAAACGTGATCGTCATCATCTAATTCTCAACATTAAACACGTATACAATTATTTGGAACTAATTAATAATAGATTAAATTAATTTATATACCAACTGTGTATTCGAACATGATGGCAACGGTGAGGATGGACCAAATGATGTTGGTGCCGAAGACTTCATAAGGTGCTCGGAACAGAATAAGCAAAGACACAAGCAGAACAGCAAGCCCCACTTTGAGTGAGAATGTCACTCTGTTGGTGTCTTCTTTGCAGAATTCCCACACACTCTTGAGCCACGCCTTGCATGAGAATCTCTCCTCACTGCCCCCGCCGGATTTCTTACCGGCCGCCACCTCTGGCTGTTTACTACCCTTTGTAGCTGAATTATTAGGGATGCCAATTTCAATGCTGATCTTTTTGCCATTCATTCTCCAATATTGAAACGTAGCAATATAATATATTTATGTGTTGCTTATTTTGTGAACAAGTGCTTAATATGATGCAAAAGTTCTTTCTTTTTTTTCCCGCGAAGGAAGCAAGAGGAGGAGAGAAATAATAGAAATGAGAATAGTGATTTTTGGGATGAGATGAAAGCGAATTTAAAGAGGAAGCTGGGGATGTTGTAGGGCGAAGCTATAGAGGGCTATAGGGGTTAAGTGGTGCAACTAGGGAGAGAGAGAGAGAGAGAGAGAGAGAGAGAGAGAGAGAGAGAGAGGGAATGATACGACAATAATACAGGAGAGAAAATGGAGAGCGAGCTCAAAAACTCAGGATAAGAAGATGCTTAATCTCAATAATGCTGCATCGAAAAGAATTAGAATCTCAAATTATTTTCATGGGGAGGGCAATATTTCTCCTTCCAATCCACGTTTTCTCTTCCAAAAATATCTTCATCACGCATGATCATATGATCATATGCATATACACATGACATATACAAATATATATTATGTAAATAATATAATGCAGAGGGTATAGATGACAACAACACTTTAATCCGTTAAGACACTAGTAATAGCTACAATTCAATATCTATATGTATGTATGTATGTATACGAGGTCATGTTGTTAATTAGAAGGCACTATATGTATATATATATTTGAGTTATACATATACATATATATATATATATATATCGACATCTATCATGAATATTAAGTACGCATAATGCTGCAGCAAAATTATTGTTCGTTTGAACTTTGAGTATAATGCCCTTGTTATGCATGATTATGACGAACTTGCTTGATTTTAAGCGGAATTAGATTGTCAGTTTATTCTGATAAAATTCCAGTTTTTGTCCTTATATTAACGTAAAGGAAAATGAGTAAAAGACACTTCTGAAGAGAAGTATCAAGAACAAGATTCGGAACTTCTACGTGTTAGTAGAAGGTTTATTATGTATATATGAGAGCCAACTCGAATCATACTAGTCATTTCATATTTTTAACTAAAATAGTTAATGATTTAGCTTCTTTTTTTTTTTTTTAGCTTTTCTCCACTCCAACTATTAGCTACATGGTTAGCTATTTTAGAAAATGCATTCACACTAGCTAAATATAGTTAGCAAGAAGTTGTTAGCTATTTGCTAGTTATTTATTTTTTTCTATTATTTTATTCTTTTAAACCACAATAAATGCAAAGATTCTTTTTTAAACTAAATAAAGTTATTATATATTTAAATTCAATAAATATTAAAATAATCTGTGTTTAGCTAAAATAGAGAGTATGGTTGGAGTAACTCATCAAAAAGTTACTAGCTAAAATAACTTTCTAGTCATTTTAGTTAGAATTTAGCTAAAATTTATAGAGTTCCCATGAAGATGCTTTAATAAGCCACAAAATTTATTCATGAAGGCTTTGAGTTAAATTAAATTTTAAATTAAATTAATAATAATAACATTTTAAATTCTAATATGTTTTCTTTAGTATTTATGGATTTTTTGTAATGTCTTCCTCCAAAAATATCATATTGTATGTTAATGTTTGTTTATTTGAATCTTTAGATTTAAAATAACAGATAAAAAAATTTGAAATAATAAGGCATACTTAAAAGTACTAAAAACTAAGGGTAATCTTTAAAAATGCCTCTTGAAATGGAGTTTTTTTTTTTATTTCTACCCCTTAATATTAGAACATATATATATTTTTACTTTTTAGATTAAGTGGTTAAGGGGTAGAGTTTTTTAAAGAGAATAATTTTAATAAATCAGATACTTAAATAGATAGAATCTATAATGTTCTCAAACCATCTATAAGTGAAAAATTTTAAAAAGATTCTATGGTTTGAAATAGAAAATTTTAAGGGAAGGTAAAATAATTTATATATACATAATATATATGGACAAATATTCGTGTGTATATGCATGGTATTCATTTATTTTTCATGTACAGGAATATTATTATCTTTGACTAGCTAGGGACTCAGCGCAGCGCGTCTTGGGAGATTCACAACTTGCCAAATAAACAGATTGAATAGAGACCAAATTTCTCTAGCATTGTTTATCTCGCGAAATTGGTGAACTCGTTTAATTCGTATCTCAATGATTAAAGCATAATGCATATGTACGTTCAATTTCTCCCTCTAAATAATACAGAATTTCTGAATATATGCTTTTAGCACCTAATTATTTATTCCTTAAATACAGAAAGTTTTGCTACCTTATGTTTTTCTTTGAGAATAAAATTAAAACTCACGAGGCGGCCATGTTCTTTTGTCAAAAAAATTCAAAAAAAGACAACTCAAGTTTCAACTTTATTCAAGTTCACGTTCTTTTAAGTTTTAATTTTATTCAAGTTTTAACTTCAACTCAAGTTATAACTCAAATTCAACTTAAAAACTACACTCAAGTTACACTCCAAAAGAACAACCCCTAATTTTTCCTTTTAATGTGAAGTAAGAATCGATAAATTCCTCGATTGAAAATTGAAACATTAGAAATATGTTGGTAATAAATAAAAAGTGATTTATCAATCAAATATGATTTACCAAGATCAAAATAATTTATTAAAAATCAATCAAGAATTTATGAAAGTTAAAAAAAAAATGAAATTTCATTAATCTAGCAAAATTAAGAACAGTTATTTAAAGTATACTTTGAAAAGGGCCATCCACTTCGGTCTATAAAAGGGGAAAAAAATGCATAAATAGCTAAAAGAAACAAATGTGGTTTAAATTTTATGTTCTCGATCTAAAAGCTTAAAAGTTTCTCATTGTATGGCTAAAATTAATTATATGAGATCATGAGGACATATTCGAGGCATACAAGTGGCGATAAATTTATTGTTTTTACGAATGAGAAAATGAACAAGAAGGACAATATCTTATCTTATATATAAACATGTACAAATATTGTTCCCAAAACAGAAAAATGTTTGCACTTTTTGGCACAAAGTGAAACGCAAATATACACTGACCGCCCATGAGGGGTTAGAATCTTCAATAAGTTCTCGATCAGGTTCAGGGGCTGCTGATGACTACTGTTGAGCATATAACAATATAATATTGCAAAATTTTCTCGTTAATGAAGTTTGATTATCATTATTAATATAATTACTATTTTCTTGTGATGAATTAATTAGAACAGTCTTTGCCAACCCTTAATTTCCCCACCTTAACTAGTAGTGTGGAACTTTATAGAGACTTTATTCTAAGATATTAATATTGAATCAATCACATTGATCCGAATTATAAAGCATTAATATATAAACATTGTATTGAGGTTACAAGTCAGACACGTCTGATCATGTTATGTACATACAATGTCTAGTCACTAGTGTGTACTAGCCAATTTTTTGGAGAGTCAATCTTTCCTGCTTTAAAGTTGAAGCTGCCGATAATGTATTGGCTTGAATAAAATTTTCTACCTTCTTAAAAATCTAACTTCGAAATCTTTTTCTCTTTTTTTAAGTAAAAGAAATAGAGATGAAACTTCAACCGATTCTAGCCAAAAAAAAGAAAAAAAGAAAAAAGAAAAGAAAAGGCAGATTTTAGTAGCATTTCCTACTCAATTTATAAAATAGAATAGAGATGTTCAATTTTTTTTTTTAAAAGAAAAATAACCAGAAAAGCTCACAAAATAGAAATAGAAATAGAGATAAATAAATAAAAACACTAGCAGTTCATATTTGGCTAACTATATTTGCATTTTTAAATAAACCGGTTTATTATTGATTAACTTAATGTGTATCAACCACTATATACTGATTGACCAATATCAATTAGGGGTAACCAATTTCACTTAATAATTTACCGATTTATCAATGATGAAATAATGATAATCAATGATAAACTGGTTTAGTAGTGATAAAATCACGGTATATCAATGATTGATCACTGTGAAAAGAATGAAAAAGTTCAGCCATTATTTAAAAAGGGCGATTAAAATCGACCATCCATCAAATTTATTAATTCACAATCAGAATTAATATCAATATTATCAACCGAATCAACATGATATTGGGATTTTTTGTCACCATTTTTCTATTGCCCTGTGGACATTGCTTCTGGACAATAGATTGAAGTAGGTCTGCTACGTTTTAGGCTGCTGCTTATCTCCTTCTTGGTCTGAATTTCGTTTTTCAGTTGATATTTATAAAATATAAACCCTTGATAGTTCTAAGATATTTATAAAAGAAACACATTATTATGAGGAAAGATTATTTTATATAAATAAATAACCAAATCTCCTTATTGGAAGAAGTTGTCAACTTGTAATATCTACAAACTAAAATATCTCTAGCTACTTCATATAAGGTTTGAACGTTGAACCAATACGTGCACGTGTAAATTTTACTTAGCGGTCAATAAAAAATAAATGCTCAGGTTTTACAGTACCATTCATTGGCTGCTGATTAATTGCCTGCCAGACATGACCCTAATTTAACTATTTATCAAGTCTTCAATATCAAGTGGAAACCCTAATTTAAACTATTTATCAAGTCTTCAATATCAAGTGGAAACCCTAATTTCAACTATTTATCAAGTCTTCAATATCAAGTGCAACAGGTAATAATAACAAAACCAACTTTAACCACAAGTTCACAAATACATCTTGGAGTACCATTCTAGATGACGTTAATTTGGATTATTTGAATTATTTTTTCAGTGGAGAAAAATTAATGACCACAAAAAAAAAAAAAAAAAAAAAAAAATGGGTTCTTACTAATTCGGCGCTAGGCTATGAAAATTTTTAATGACCACAAAGACAAAATTAGTACTTAATTCAGCTTGACTAAGAGAACTTTTAACGACCACAAATTTCATTACTTTAGCTTGAGGCATATATATACATTGACTCACTTTGATGGCCTGAGAATATATGGCATTAATTAGAATTAATTAATACGTACAATGAATATATGGATGCCAAAGAAACTCAATTAAATTCACGAAGTAAATCTGACCACTGATGCAACGCCTATTTATGTGGAAACTAATAATTATAATTAAGCTCTGTGTG